GTAGTTTTGGGGGCTTTTTGCTTTGTGGGAGCCATTATTTCCTTTTCTTCTTTCTTTACGATGCGTACGCTTTGAAATTTAAAAGAGAACTGATGAAAATGTATGTAAAACGTTGACCTTATATATGATTTCAATGGCGGGAAACAAATAATGGGTAGGGGAAGAACATTATGAAATAATCTTAATTATTGCTTGATATTCTTACTAACATTTAATAATATTAATTTCATTAGCATTGTTGGTATTTGTTTTATTATGTTTGAATCGTAATTTATTTAAAATTAATAGTTTTCATAGTGAAAACCTGAAAAATTCATCATTTTAACAGAATTTAGAGGGGAAATTCAACGTTTTTGTTAATTAACAAAAACGTGGTGGAAATTTTTTAAAACTTTCTCAAAAATATGTTTGATTAAATGAAATGCTTCATGATCACTCTTATAAATTTTTTTAATAAAAGTTCGGGAAAAAGCTTAAAACTCGTTAGAATAAGATTTTATACGAAATAGGGGAAGGAAAAAAAACCTATATAAGAAACACATTTTCAGTGCAAATATTCATTCGAGTTTTAAACTTCAACGTGAAAGCAACTCTCAAATAAAAAGAAGAAAACATGACTGGTCGAGGAAAAGGAGGCAAAGGTTTAGGAAAAGGTGGTGCTAAACGTCATCGTAAAGTTCTTCGTGATAACATCCAAGGTATCACAAAACCAGCAATTCGTCGTTTAGCTCGTCGTGGTGGTGTCAAACGTATTTCTGGGTTAATTTATGAAGAAACCCGAGGCGTCTTAAAAGTTTTCTTGGAAAATGTAATTCGTGATGCTGTTACATACACTGAACATGCTAAGAGAAAGACTGTCACTGCTATGGATGTCGTCTATGCATTGAAACGTCAAGGCCGCACACTTTATGGTTTCGGAGGTTAAATTAATTAACAAAACATCAAACATTCAAAATGGTCTTTTTCAAGACCCCAAAATAATTCGAAAAAGAAATTAAATAATTATTCACTGACATTAAATCTACTGTAACTAATATTTATCAATAAAAAATATATGATGTACTGTAATTAATATTTTTTTAATCAATTCCTTTAGTTTTAAATAAATTCATGTAATTTGATGTTTAATAAATTAAATGTTTTATTCTCAATCGCTTTATTTTTGTTAATGCACCTAAGGAATACAAAACATAATAAAGAAAGTTAAATACATTTTGTAGATAAAATGGTTACAAATCTGTACACATGAATCACATTTGCTTTTATTTAAATAATTTCAGAATCATTCAAACTAAATTAGGGATTTATTTTTATTAAGGCTAAAATTTTATTAAAAATGAATAATTAAATGTCTTTTTATTAATATTATTTGTCGTCCTAAAAAGGACGGTTTAAATTGTTGATGTTGATTTAGATCATTTATGCCTTCTTTTCGGTTTTCTTTGGCAACAAAACAGCTTGAATGTTTGGTAAAACACCACCTTGAGCGATTGTAACACCAGATAAAAGCTTATTTAACTCTTCGTCATTACGGATGGCCAATTGTAAATGACGTGGAATAATTCTGGTCTTTTTGTTGTCACGAGCAGCATTACCAGCTAACTCGAGAACTTCTGCAGCCAAATATTCCATAACAGCAGCTAGGTATACTGGAGCACCAGCACCAACTCGTTCAGCATAGTCTCCTTTACGTAACAAACGATGAATACGTCCGACTGGGAATTGCAAACCAGCACGGTTAGAACGAGACTTTGCCTTTGACTTAACTTTCCCTCCTTTACCACGGCCTGACATTCTGATTTTTTATTTTTACTTTTTTTTCTTTACGATGTGAAACGAACGAAGATTCGACTTATACTGAAAGCGAACATGAAAATGCGCTCATATTTATATGAAATGAGAGAAAATATTCTCTTCAAAACGAGAGGCGGGGCTTAGTACGGGCTTGAAAAAATGTGTATAAATAAGACACGTTTTTTGTATGAAATTTCAGTATCGTTTTGAATTTTCAACAGTTCACATCGTAATAAAAAAGGAAGAAGAAATGGCACCGCCAAAAACTAGTGGAAAAGCAGCAAAAAAAGCTGGCAAGGCACAAAAGAATATCTCAAAGGATGGAAAGAAGCATAAACGTAAGCGCAAGGAATCTTACGCTATCTATATCTTCAAAGTGTTGAAGCAAGTTCATCCTGACACTGGTATTTCATCAAAAGCCATGAGCATCATGAACAGCTTTGTCAATGACATCTTCGAACGTATTGCTGCTGAAGCATCACGTCTTGCTCACTACAATAAACGGTCAACAATAACAAGTCGCGAAATTCAAACTGCTGTTCGACTTTTGTTGCCTGGTGAATTAGCTAAGCACGCTGTGAGTGAAGGAACAAAAGCAGTCACAAAGTATACGTCATCGAAATAAATAATTAACTCGTCCCTACAATCGAAATGGTCTTTTTCAAGACCCCAAATTAATTAAAGAAAAGATATTATTTAAATTCATGACTTTCATTTTTAACTCTAATAAAGCATTAAAATAAATGTTAATAATAGCACATTTTTAAAATAATAAAAACTCAATTCAAGCATAAATGTTTTATTTTCTTCCTTAAATACATAACTAATGTTTTGTTTAGATTTTATTGTCAAAATCTTTTAAATGAAATAATTAAAATCTATAGAAATATATTTCTTCAACAAAATCGACTCATACAAAAATTGTAGTGCGACGTATTTTCTTACAAAACAATTTTTCCTATGGACGGGAATCATGTATTTTGAAACTATGATATTTATTAATTATATACATTTTAACCATATTTATAATTATAAACATGATCGGTAAATCCCTACAGCATGATATTCTGATGTTTCATTTTGATAAATAATTATAATTAACCATCTTAACACGATCTTTCAAAGTTAAAACTTGAAATGAATTCAAAATAGTCATGAATAGAGGTTTGGAGAATTCTTAATAATTCTTACTTCGACACAAAATTTAAATTATTTAAGTTTTTATTCTGAAAGTCAAATAAATAACCTGTAGATAAGTGCTAACTAAGTTTTTAATTTTTAAAGAACATCATAGTCAAAACCATTTAAATAATGTGCTTTATGGTTTTGGTAAGGAATTACAAAGTTTATACTCATTCTGCTCTAATTAAAATAATTTATCAAAAAATAGTTTTTATGAATTCTTACACCTTATTTATCTGCAAATAACTTTTAATCATAAAATTTTAAAAAAGAATGATGCAAAGTGAATTATTTTTTATTCACAATAAATGATACAAAAATTTGTTCGTAATGTTTGAAAGAAAAACATGTGGAAGAAGGCTTCGTTTCCATGCGCGTATCGAAATCATACCCCAATTCTTTCATGATCGCATGCATAAATATTATTTTCAAAACGAAAACGTATTCATACAATTCTCAATATAAAAAGAAAAGTGTAATCATGTCTGAACCTGCTCCAGTAACAGTATCTGCAGCTTCCGAAAAGGTAGCTTCACCAGCAAAGAAAGCAGCAAAAGCATCGGTTAAACCAAAAAAAGCACCGAAATCTCATCCTCCAGTCAGTGATATGATTGTCGCTGCCATTAGAACATTAAAGGAACGAGGTGGCTCATCATTGCAAGCAATCAAAAAATACTTGGCTGCTCAATATAAAGTTGATGTTGAGAAGTTAGCTCCTTTCATTAAAAAGTATTTAAAATCTGCTGTCGCAAAAGGTCAATTGCTTCAAACGAAAGGAAAAGGTGCTTCAGGATCTTTCAAACTTCCTGCTGCTTCGAAGAAAGAAGCTGCACCGAAAAAACCAAAAACAGTGAAACCAAAATCTGTTAAACCTAAAAAAGCTGCTGGCGAGAAGAAAAAGACATTAGCTAAGAAGTCTGTGGCCAAAAAACCAAAAGCAGCTGGCAGTCCTACAAAAATCAAGAAGCCAGTGGCCAAATCTGCAAAGAAACCAGCCGTTGCTAAGCCACCAAAGAATGTGTCAGCCAAGCCGAAAGCAGCAGCAAAACCGAAGAAGGCAGCAGCTCCAAAAAAAGTTGCAACATCAAAAAAAGCAACAACGAAGAAAGTTTCAGCTGCAAAGAAACCAACTGCTACTAAGAAAGCCGCTAAGTAAGCATCACGAGTAGTTTTATTTTTCATTAAATATAAAACTTCGAGAGTCAAATTATTATTTAACTCTCATATTGAAATAGTCCTTTTCAGGACTACCATATAAATTTTAAAAAAGAAATTAATAATATTCACCAGTCTGAAAATAAAATTTTACACATTTATAGGTTCCATATTTTAATCTCTTGCTGTTCAAAGTTTGAACACTTTTCTTTTCAATGAATGATCACAGAAAATGTAAAGTTAAGTTAATTAAACTTTTTGTCTGAAGACTGCATGCTATTTTTAAGATATGGGAAATATTCTATTTCGTAAGTTATCTATAAATATGGGCATTGTCTTGAAAACATTTTCAAGGATCTCATGAAAAAACTTAATTATACTACATTTTTCTTTCAACACATTGTATGCATGTTTTAAATGATGTGTTACATTTATGAAAAGGTGAATTCAAAATTATGCTTTAACTAATATTTCATGAAAAAAGTTAATTATACTACATTCCTTCTTCTAACACATTATATGCATGATTGAAATAATGTGTTACATACAAAAGGACGAAAATTCTAAATTATAGTATAATTAAATATTTCTTTCGGTCACAATATTTTCTCAATAGCAATGAATGTAAACAATCAATAAAAGTTTAATGAGCAAATTTTCTTATAAAGATGAAATGGTGGCATCAAAAGAAAATTAATTATAGTACATTTAGTCAGAAAGTTGTGATGTATTGAAGTGAATTTAATAAATAAATATCTTTCTCAATGAAAAATTAATTGATGGTCTTGAAAAAGACCGTTCATTTATGTTGTTTGATGGTTAATTAAATTAAGCGCGTTCACCACGAATACGACGTGCCAATTGAATATCTTTTGGCATGATGGTGACTCGCTTAGCATGGATAGCACACAAGTTGGTGTCTTCGAATAATCCTACAAGGTAAGCTTCGGATGCTTCTTGTAAAGCCATGACAGCTGATGATTGGAAACGCAAGTCAGTTTTAAAATCTTGTGCGATTTCACGAACCAAACGTTGGAATGGTAATTTGCGGATCAACAATTCAGTCGATTTCTGATAACGACGAATTTCACGAAGGGCAACTGTACCAGGTCGATAACGATGAGGTTTCTTAACACCACCAGTTGCTGGTGCTGATTTACGAGCAGCTTTTGTAGCCAATTGTTTTCTTGGTGCTTTTCCACCAGTAGATTTACGGGCTGTTTGCTTTGTACGAGCCATTATTTCCTTTTCTTCTTTCTTTACGATGCGTACGCTTTGAAATTTAAAAGAGAACTGATGAAAATGTATGTAAAACGTTGACCTTATATATGATTTCAATGGCGGGAAACAAATAATGGGTAGGGGAAGAACATTATGAAATAATCTTAATTATTGCTTGATATTCTTACTAACATTTAATAATATTAATTTCATTAGCATTGTTGGTATTTGTTTTATTATGTTTGAATCGTAATTTATTTAAAATTAATAGTTTTCATAGTGAAAACCTGAAAAATTCATCATTTTAACAGAATTTAGAGGGGAAATTCAACGTTTTTGTTAATTAACAAAAACGTGGTGGAAATTTTTTAAAACTTTCTCAAAAATATGTTTGATTAAATGAAATGCTTCATGATCACTCTTATAAATTTTTTTAATAAAAGTTCGGGAAAAAGCTTAAAACTCGTTAGAATAAGATTTTATACGAAATAGGGGAAGGAAAAAAAACCTATATAAGAAACACATTTTCAGTGCAAATATTCATTCGAGTTTTAAACTTCAACGTGAAAGCAACTCTCAAATAAAAAGAAGAAAACATGACTGGTCGAGGAAAAGGAGGCAAAGGTTTAGGAAAAGGTGGTGCTAAACGTCATCGTAAAGTTCTTCGTGATAACATCCAAGGCATCACCAAACCAGCAATTCGTCGTTTAGCTCGACGTGGTGGTGTCAAACGTATTTCTGGGTTAATTTATGAAGAAACCCGAGGCGTCTTAAAAGTTTTCTTGGAAAATGTAATTCGTGATGCTGTTACATACACTGAACATGCTAAGAGAAAGACTGTCACTGCTATGGATGTCGTCTATGCATTGAAACGTCAAGGCCGCACACTTTATGGTTTCGGAGGTTAAATTAATTAACAAAACATCAAACATTCAAAATGGTCTTTTTCAAGACCCCAAAATAATTCGAAAAAGAAATTAAATAATTATTCACTGTGGCACTAAATCTACTGTAACTAATATTTATCAATAAAAAATATATGATGTACTGTAATTAATATTTTTTTAATCAATTCCTTTAGTTTTAAATAAATTCATGTAATTTGATGTTTAATAAATTAAATGTTTTATTCTCAATCGCTTTATTTTTGTTAATGCACCTAAGGAATACAAAACATAATAAAGAAAGTTAAATACATTTTGTAGATAAAATGCTTACAAATCTGTACACATGAATCACATTTGCTTTTATTTAAATAATTTCAGAATCATTCAAACTAAATTAGGGATTTATTTTTATTAAGGCTAAAATTTTATTAAAAATGAATAATTAAATGTCTTTTTATTAATATTATTTGTCGTCCTAAAAAGGACGGTTTAAATTGTTGATGTTGATTTAGATCATTTATGCCTTCTTTTCGGTTTTCTTTGGCAACAAAACAGCTTGAATGTTTGGTAAAACACCACCTTGAGCGATTGTAACACCAGATAAAAGCTTATTTAACTCTTCGTCATTACGGATGGCCAATTGTAAATGACGTGGAATAATTCTGGTCTTTTTGTTGTCACGAGCAGCATTACCAGCTAACTCGAGAACTTCTGCAGCCAAATATTCCATAACAGCAGCTAGGTATACTGGAGCACCAGCACCAACTCGTTCAGCATAGTTTCCTTTACGTAACAAACGATGAATACGCCCGACTGGGAATTGCAAACCAGCACGGTTAGAACGAGATTTTGCCTTTGACTTCACTTTCCCTCCTTTACCACGGCCTGACATTCTGATTTTTGTTTTTACTTTTTCTTCTTTGCGATGTGAAACGAACGAAGATTCGACTTATACTGAAAGCGAACATGAAAATGCGCTCATATTTATATGAAATGAGAGAAAATATTCTCTTCAAAACGAGAGGCGGGGCTTGATACGGGCTTGAAAAAATGTGTATAAATAAGACACGTTTTTTGTATGAAATTTCAGTATCGTTTTGAATTTTCAACAGTTCACATCGTAATAAAAAGGAAGAAGAAATGGCACCGCCAAAAACTAGTGGAAAAGCAGCAAAAAAAGCTGGCAAGGCACAAAAGAATATCTCAAAGGATGGAAAGAAGCATAAACGTAAGCGCAAGGAATCTTACGCTATCTATATCTTCAAAGTGTTGAAGCAAGTTCATCCTGACACTGGTATTTCATCAAAAGCCATGAGCATCATGAACAGCTTTGTCAATGACATCTTCGAACGTATTGCTGCTGAAGCATCACGTCTTGCTCACTACAATAAACGGTCAACAATAACAAGTCGCGAAATTCAAACTGCTGTTCGACTTTTGTTGCCTGGTGAATTAGCAAAGCACGCTGTGAGTGAAGGAACAAAAGCAGTCACAAAGTATACGTCATCGAAATAAATAATTAACTCGTCCCTACAATCGAAATGGTCTTTTTCAAGACCCCAAATTAATTAAAGAAAAGATATTATTTAAATTCATGACTTTCATTTTTAACTCTAATAAAGCATTAAAATAAATGTTAATAATAGCACATTTTTAAAATAATAAAAACTCAATTCAAGCATAAATGTTTTATTTTCTTCCTTAAATACATAACTAATGTTTTGTTTAGATTTTATTGTCAAAATCTTTTAAATGAAATAATTAAAATCTATAGAAATATTTCTTCAACAAAATCGACTCATACAAAAATCGCACTGCGACGTATTTTCTTACAAAACATTTTTTCCTAATAGACGGGAATCATGTATTTTGAAACTATGTTATTTATTAATTAAATCCATTTTAACCATATTTATATCCTTATTTATATCTTTAAAATTAATTGATGAAAAATTCTACAAATTTCAGAAATTGCTGTGGAACTATTCAAAATTATTTTTCCCTCGCTATGATTTTCCCCAAAACACAAGATTTGAGTGTAAAAAGAGTGAAGCTTATGTTTTATTATTTTATTTTATATCAAATTTATTGTGGTTTTCTTTTGAAATCCAAACTTACTAAGCTTCGTCTGTATTGATGAGTTTTCAGAAGAACTAACGTTTGTTATGCTACCAGAGGATTTTTTTGCTGAAGGCTTTCTTTTGTTGTTGACTTTAGGAAGGTTGGTTTTCAGGTTCAATGATGATTTTATATTACTTGCCTCGTGAGAAGATGCATTGAAGCTAATTTCAAGCTTTGGTTTTAACTCAAATTTTTCCAAAACGATTATCTTTTCATCGTTTAAGTTTTCAGTTTCTTTTGTTATAATTTCAGTATCTTCATTGCTAATAGAAGATTCAAAACTGACATTTTTAGAATCATCTTCTTCATCGTTGTTAGATCTTTCAAACGATTTGGTATCCTCATAAAATTGTTTATGTTTCAGCATCTTTTCTTGACAGTTTGAAAGCATTTCAGCTAATTCTGTGCAGTCTTCCGTAGTTAGATTTGTTTCAGTCTTTTTTATTGATTTATCTTTTCCAGCAAAAAATCTACTTACAACTCGATGATCAAGTTTATTGTTTTCTTTCTTTTCTCCATTCAGAAAGGATTTCAAGAGAGAAGGTTTGGCAGAAAGTTTTCTGTCATCACTTTGATGTCGTTTTGCAAATGGATTAACACTAAGATGTTCTTCACGATCTGGTTCATCTTTGTTTCTTCTTTTTGATGTCGATACTTCTGGCGAAACATATGAAGATAACAAATCATCCATTTCAACTTCAGTTGTCACATGATTTTCTTGATCTATAATGTTCTGCACTTCCAAAAGTTGTTTCTTTTGAATACTTTTAGTTCCCAGAAAAGTGGTAAGACGAGATTGTTGTTTCCAAGTAGATTTTTGTTTGTTATTGATCATTTCACTGTTAAATTTCCATATGATTTCATGTCTAGCAGTTCTAATGTTGTTTGGTTTCTTTACATTTGTTAAATTGCCATTTGGGTCGAAATTTTCCATTTTGTGAAATGTTCGAGGATTTAAATTGCCTAACGCCAATTGATATGCGATTTCAGGTTCAAGTAGTTCACCAGCATTTGAGCAGTACGCAAGTTCTGGATCATTATCATCAATTGGATTCAGTCTCAACATTTCTCTCTTTAAAGGATCATACACGAACATGTACTTGAATGTTGCTTCAGCTTTTAAAAATCCTTCGATATATTCGTCAGTTATTGTTAACTTCTTCATGTTTAAATATGAAGGAATTTTCAACAAAGCTCGTTTCATGTCTTCTTCCTCAGTGAGCATCATAAATTTCTTTGCTTTTGCAAGTCCAACACCGTATAAGTTATCTAAATAATCACAACCAGATAGAATGCAAATACGTCGAAATTTATCAAATGAAAATTTCTCTTCTGATGTGTTGAGTGTCAAATGTAATTTGCTTGCGTCGAACAGCAAACATCGTCCATCTAGTTGAAGTTTGAAGATGATTTTTTGGCATCCAAACAAGATCAAGTCACTGTCTTCAGTTATAATATATTCAGCAATTCCTTTTTTATTTAAATATGCTAATTGACTGTCAGCTTCATACATCGCTGTGATACATTCAACTCCAAGTTTACGACACTCTTTCATCAATTCTATTGCATGTTCATGTGTAATATCAACGGCTTTTGCAAATTCCCTCCGTGCTTCATCAATCTTTCCACCTCTTAAATGTTCTTTTGCTTTCTCCTTAGCAATTTCACGATCCTTCCTTCTTTTCGTTTCTGTCAGTGCTTTAGCTGGAAGATTTCTGAAATTCATGTCGTGATGAAATATTAATTTTATTTGATGTCAATGTCATTCAATAAACTTACCGTCCATCAAACACCATGATTGGTTTAATATTAAGTGATAACAACATAGAAACATATTTCATACTAAAGTCTATATGAGAAGAAGTTTTGATTCCTTTAATTAATTTATCAGCACAACTGTAAGCTCCTCGATGAAGAAGACAATAAGAATCGACGGCAACACATTTTCCTTTAATTTGACTAATTGTTATTGGTGTAGTTGCTTGCTCACAGAATGAAATTAATCCTTGGATGCCCATTTTAATGTGAATATTTATTTTAATGATTCTTGAAGTTTATATTTTTCTGTTTATGTTTACTTTTTGTTATGGCGGGAACTCGTAGAACTATGTATAAGTAGAGCCGTTAACAAATTGTGCGATAAAAAACTTTATTACTATGGAGTTAAGGTCTTGTTTTGCATGACAAGTGAAATTTTTCGATTACATGAACATTTACCTACATTCAAAGCTACAAAAATTCTATTTAAAAACATATCTATGAAAGGCAGTTTTATTAATAATGTTATTAAATACTTTTAATCGTTGTTATTTCATTCAAAATTTTCAATAATTTATAAAGTTATAATAAATTTATTAAATAAAATAATTACTATTTTGAATAGGCATAAATAAAAAATAAGTTTTCGTCTAAATTTTAACAAAAATACGACGTCGCAGCTGCCTTTGTGTTGAACATTTTCAGCAATAAAGTAAACCTCCTTCATTTTCGATCAAGTGTTCCAATGTATATTTCTTCTGTTTCTCATTCAATCCAAGTGCAGCAGCTTCTTCTTCAAATTGCTCCACACTTCCAATTCCAGCAACATATCCGTTCAAACGTGCAGCAACATGTGATGTAAGCAAAAGTCTAGAATTTAGTCCTAAGGTTTTCGCTAAATCTTTGTGATTTTGTAGTCGAAATTTTTGGTGATAGCTGGAAATGAATTTAAGGTTGAATTTATAAAATTTATTTAATTTATTTAAATTTACAATTAACTCACTCTTCTGCTGAATGAAATTCCCCAGCCTCTACAATAGTTGTAATAATTTTTTCATTTGAACGAATTTTTTGTTCATGAACTCGACTTTCTAAAATATGAAATATAATGAATTAATTAAGGTTTTAATTCATTTATGATGTTGAGTAAATCTAATAGAAAACCTTCAGCAATCCTTTTCTGATCTTCGCTGTGATAAAAAATTATTGAAGCGTATTGTTTCTTTATTTTTGTTGTCAATCCGTACTCGTGATTATTCCAGAAAAGATTGAGAATCTCGAGATAGCTTATCGTTTTAGGATCATAGTCAATATCAATAGCCTCAGTATGATCGCCACTACAGACGTTTGAAATTAAAAAAAATATCACAGATTGTACTTAATAAAATGTATGTTACATTTTTATTTACGTCTAATCATGATTAAACATTTTATGACGACGTTTCAAACTACTTTTAGACTGCGATATAAATTTTACTAGTCATTTTCCTTTATGTTATCAATGTCTGGCGATAACAAGTCTATGCTTAAGAAGATGTAAAATATTTATTCAATGACTTACAGATTTCTGTAGACAGGGTTTAGTTTTGTGCCACCACAATATCCGACACGAGTTCTCAAAATTCCTTTGGTACCTCCATAAAGAGAATCGGCGCCCCAAAAACACCCCATTCCAAATGTAGCCTAATTGAATTGATAAAGAGAATTGCTCAAGCTTACAAATTTATAAAATTATAAAATCTTTAAATACCTTTTCATATGGAATGTCAACATCATGTAGTAAGGTCAATTTCTTTCGCTGAAATAATTTAGAAAGTTATACAAAAACATCTGATCGTTCGCTTTTAGTAAGCGTCAAGTAATAAAATCAATGAAGGCGAAAAATTACAATATTCACGTCATATGGAATAAAGATGTCCAGCCATGTAAGTCGTGAAAATGTCCCTGAACATAAAAAGCGAATATATAAATCAACACGAACGTTGAAAATTTGCAAACCATGGTAATCAAAGAATATCAACAAAAGAAAAGAAAAAATATTTCATTGTGTCAACTTCGAATGAACGGCCTTGATTGTGCTCAAGGTCAACGTACTACAGTCATTAAATATAAATATCTTATAACAAAGGATGTGTAATCAAGTCATGTTTTCATCCCCATTTACATTCTTCAATAATTTTTATAAATAAATAATATTTAACTTATTTTGTCTCAACACACTTATAAGTTTGTTAAGTATTAATAAATTGCATTAAGTTCAATAAATTGCATCATCTTCAATTTGCGGTCTTTTTAAGCTTTCTAGACAGTACATTAAATTTAAATTTTTAAAAAATTCTTACCTCAACACATCCATTTACTGAAGAATCAGTTGAAGATCTTTTAGTCAATCCCAATTTGGATAAATTATCGGACAATGACTTGATCATATCTTTTTTAAAAAATGAATTTAAGTTAATTTTGAAAATTAATGTTGGAAAATTGCACAATGATCAATTTAAAATAAACCTCGTCTTCCGCAGAATGTTAACATTAAACTGATGTTATTCAATGAAGTTTTCTTCACAAAATTAATAATGCTAAGAAAATGGTTACATACAACTTTGAGAGTTCACAACACAAACAAATATTCCGCTAAGACGAAATTGAAAGCGTATTTATACGGATAACTTTATTCAGGGAAACTCGATAAAAACACTTTATTGAATCATTGAAAGACTAAAAATCTATCAACTCCTAAAATTTCAGAAGATGTATGTTAGATAAGTTAAATTTCCCCTGATTTTGTTCATAAATTTGTTTATAGTTAATTTATACTCTTTTAAAACTCACCGCATAAACTCACTTTTTAAAGTCTACCTAATAATCTATTAAAGTAGATCTTAAATTGAAGAGCCACGAACATCGTAAATTTCGTGTCTAATATTAGATACAGTCAAATAATCGATCAAATAAGAGTGATGGAGGTAAGTAAATGAATTAATCTTATAAGTAATTGATGAATTTATTAGAAAAACTTACAGATTGAAATTCTTGATGCACGTAATTCCAAAGGTAATAAATTTTGGATATTGACCCGGAATACATTATCCAAAGTCCCCTCCTCTCTTTGTCCCCTTTCGATTTTATTTACATATTCTCTTTTCAGTGTTGGCAAAATGTACAGCTCAGCCATCATCTACAATTAAGGATTTAAAAGTTCAAGTTCATTCGGCTAATAAGAAGTTAACCATTCATCGACAAGCATTGCGATTAGAAATTAGAGGAAAAACTTTAAAAGATTCAGATACAATTGAATCACTTGACTTACGCAATGGAGCAAAATTGTATCTTAAAGATTTAGGACCGCAAATTGGGTGGTCTACAGTTTTCTTGGCAGAATATGCCGGTCCTTTGCTTGTTTACTTATGGGTTTACCAACGCCCTTGGATCTTTTATGGTGACACTACAACAGCAAGTTTTACCACAACAGCTCAGTAAGGAAATTATATGAAAGAGTGAAATTTTAAATTATTGAAATAATTTTTTATTTTAGTATTGCTGCAGCTTGTTACACGATCCATTATGCTAAACGTCTTCTTGAAACAATTTTCGTTCATCGCTTCTCTCATGCCACAATGCCGATAGGAAATCTTTTCAAGAATTGCATGTATTATTGGGGATTCACAGCTTATGTAGCTTACCATGTCAATCATCCTTTGTTTACCTCACCATCCATGGCACAAGTTTATGCTGGACTTGCAGGATTTATTGTAAGTTTACCTAACAAACTAGATGTTGACTATAAAAATATTTATCAAAATTTTTTTGCAGTTCAGTGAACTTGGAAATTTATCGATTCACATCAATTTGAGAAATCTTCGACCACCAGGCACAACAGTTCGAAGAATTCCTGAACCAGACTCCAACCCGTTTACCGTTCTTTTTAACTTTGTCTCATGTCCCAATTACAGTTATGAAGTCCTTTCATGGCTTTCGTTCTCTTTTATGACTCAATGCTTGCCAGCTCTTATTTTTAGCGCTGTTGGTATGTATCAGATGACAATATGGGCTCTCGGAAAGCACCGAAATTACAAGAAAGAGTTTAAAGACTACCCGAAGCAACGTAAATCTATCATTCCATTTATTTTGTAAATTTATGTTGTTACTAAACATTTTCTCAATGTTTTAAGAAAGACTTGCTAAGTATCAGGGGAAAATATTTTTTTACTTACACAGAGATTTTCTTGGCAGACGGGGAAAGTTCGCCAGTAATAATGATTAACTAAAGTTTAAATTAATTTTGTGTTCTTGGTTTTTATGGCAAATAAAATTGAATTCCGAATGGTTGTGGAAAAAAATAAAATTGTCTTTTAATTTTTATAAGAAAGTACAGGAAATTTGAATAAAACAATGAATTGTTAATTATGTTTTTAGGAAAAACAATACAAAAAAAGTCACATAATGAAGTGTCATTAATTATTTCTTTCTCAAATTTAATTCATCCGCTGCCAATAGAAAGAAATGACGGGGCATGCAACTTGTTCATGTTTTCTTCTTGTTTGCACAAATTTATTTCGGATAATTTAGAAAAAATTTCAAAAGATATCCATGGAAGGGTTAATCAAACGATTAGATCTGGAAAATGATAAACATCTTTACAATCAATTGTACAAAATAAGATCTGAATACATCAAAAACACCGAAGGAATTGTAAGTGAAAATGAAATTTTAACAATTTGTTTGTTTACATTTTTTTATTTTGTAAATTCAAGAATAAGTTTACACAACTTGGAGGAATCACAAAAATTATCGAGTCATTAGCAGCTAAAGTTGATAATGAGGCTTCTGAAAGTGGTGATAAAATAATCGAAGTTATACTTTCAATTTTGGGAAATTGTACTTGTAACAGTGAAGAATCAGCTAATCAGGTGGGAATAAAATTTTTGATGTAAAAGAATTAATATAATATTGACCTCTTATTTTTAATTAAAGGCTTTTGATGCAAAGATCATTGAACATGTTATGACCATTTTGGACAACGCAAACAGTCCTTCGATTGTATCAAAAGCTTGCCGTCTCATTGGTAATCTCGCACAATTTCAGAAAATTGCAATTGAACTTCAATCACGAGGAATAGCTTTGATGATTTCAAATTGTCTATCAGAAGATGCTGACTTGTCAGTACTAACAATGGCTATCAGAGCAATTCGTCTTCTATGGAATTCAAAGAGATTTCGTCATGAAATTCTCTCGTTTGGTTCAATCTACAAAATCATTGTGATTTTCTATAAAATGTTGAAGAATAATAACAATGCAAATGAACAACAACCAGAAGTTGACAGTGAAGTTGTTATATTGAGGAGACAACATGAACCAGATAGAACAATTTCTAAGGAGAAATTACAAAGTTTGATTGAAAGAATGGAAAAACATGAAGTCGAAGTCAGTTATGAGATCACAAAGCCTGAAAGGAAGTCAAATGTTTCTTTCATAATGCCATCAGAAAAAGCAAATCTTGAACTTGTCTCAGGTATCATCAAATGTTTGTTAACAATAACCGCCACGTCATCTGCTCAAGTTGCAAAGAGTGTTTTCGCTGATGGTTTTGGAATTTCTTGCCTTCTGTTCACATCAAATGAAACAAGTAAATTTCGAGCAATGTCTCTGAAAATAATAAGCAACATGTCGTCGAACACTTTTGCACAAGAATATCTTGGAATCAACAATGATTTAGTGTCAGATGTGTCGAGTCTTCTTCTCAATTCTGATAATCTAGAGAAGCCTTTGGATCATAGCGAGAAAAGATTTTGCATCAACATTTTGTGCATGTCTTCAGAAAATGCTTGCAATCGAGGAAAACTTCGACGAAGTGGGGTTTTTAAAAGTCTTCTTTCAGTCGCTAACGCAACTGAATGCGAGAAAGAACTCGTTTTACTTATTTTCATGTTCTTTCAATTTCGTTTTGACCAACTAGGATTGGACACGTTACTTGAACTTGGCTTCATTGATGTTCTGATTAAAATTCTTGCTGATTTAATTAAGAAAAAAGAAGTCGATCATATTAAGTTTGACGATCCAAGTTTAGATGAAGAGAGAAAGGAAGAACAGAAACAGAAACAAAAGAAACGATCAATTGTTGATCCTCCTGTTGGTTTCAATAACTTTTCGAAATATATGCGTTACGATCCAGGATCGCCAAGTAGTTCAAGCAGTGGATATGCCAGTGTTCAACAGTTTAGTCCAAGTAGATGTAGTGGATATTCTCCTTTTAACTCACCAGCTCGAAGTTTACAAGATTGTGATGATTCTGATTCTGATATTTATTCACCGGTTTGCAGTGACAACGACAACGATGATGATGACGGCAGGGAAAATACAACGAAACAAAGTGATTTTGATATTCTAACTTACATTTATGAGAATGCAGAAATTGGTGCAGAAACTAAAGAAAATGATGCTGAGATGCTTGACATTGAAGACGAAGCTTCCAACATGACACTAAAAGGCGATGAAAATAATGAAAGTTCAAAGCGACCGGAAAATGAGACTTTAAAAGAAATCGAAGCTGATCCAATAAATCACATTCTTCAACTACTTTGGAAGGTTTCAATCAAGAATGGAGATTCGCCAGCATTTGTTCGTCAATCAAATCTTCTCGTACTTTTGGCAACAGCAAAAATTGTCAAACGACCACATGGAAAAATCTTTCAAATTTTTGAAAATATTTTAATGCAAACAAGAAATTTTGTTGCGATTCTAAAGCAAAGTTTTGTGTTCAAAATTTATGAATTATCGAGACCGTCATATGATCACAAGGATTGTTATTCTTGCAGTAAAATGAAAATAATTAGTCGTGAACTTTTGAATGTTTACACATCCGTTGCTGAATCTGGTTATGGACGTGGGGAAATAACAAATTTCCTTCTGACTGGTGACAATGAGACGAAAAATAAAATTGCTGTGAGCTTGACTTACATTATTTCCTGTCACGACATTCTCAACGATTTTTTATTCAAGTATAAAGCTTTGGACATTGTCATGGATATCAGTTTAAGTGACAATTTGTTGGCAACAGCAGCTTGTGATGGACTAACAATTATGGCGAATAATTTAAGAATTAAAATCCCATCAGACGATGAAACTCTTCATAAAATCATTCCAGATGACTTTATTGTAGATGAAACAATCTTAACAACAAAAGATGATGGCGATGAAATAAAATTCATATTGAAAGACGGTGAAATATCTTTCGACAAAGAAACTCTGAAGAGATCCAGTGAAGTCTTCAATTCAATGTTAAGTGGAGCTTTTCGTGAAAGTAATTCAAATGAAGTGAAATTTCCTGAATACACTGTTGATGGAATGAAATATTTTTATCAACTAATAATGTTGACAAACAACAAGAAATTAAAGTCAATTGCTCCGAAAGTGAATGACATTTCTGTCGTTCTGCAAGCTTATGAGCTTTCGATTCTTTATATTCTCACGGAGATTCAAAAACCGCTGTTAAATGTGATAAAAATTATAATCAATGAGACGAGTGTGCAGAAAGTCTTTGAGTGGTCTTTACTTAATGTAAATCAAGATCTCTTAATTACAGCTATCTGCTTTTATCTCTGTGGTAACATCGATGGTAAAACTAAACACAAACTCTTCCTGGAAGCGATGAATTCTCAATATAAAAACGAATGGAAACAACTTATTGTTGATACAATTTTAATGAAATGCCAATCACTCTAAAAACAGAACTTATACAATTAATAAAACTTTTTAAATTGTTGATCAATTACTGAATTAATTAATTGTTTTATTTCTTTTTCTCCTTTTTTAATTGATATGTTTGTATGTGCATTTTTATTTACTTTTTTATGTGAGTATGTGACAATTCAATTGACATAAAACATAAAGATATCTTCGATAAATATCGTAAAGTCAAACATAACAGCTTTTAACTTGACAACATAATTATTTCATGTTTTCTTTATGTCACTTAAAGTGTCAATTGTCATTTAAATTTCCTGAGATGCGATATTTTACTAAATAAAGTCATTTGTATAGTTTGAGAGTCGTTTTGAAAATTTAAAGTTCAAAGCCTTTAATTATATAAACAAATATGGTAATAAACTTTTGTGATCTTTTTTAAAGTGATTTAAGTATCTGCGAAATATTTAAACTTCCGACTCGAAACATGAAACTTCTTCTGTCTAAAGTTCCGCCATTTATGCAAATGCTTCCATATTTGCCGAGATTTTCAAGTTCACCGACGTGAAACTAAGCACATTAATGAAATTATGCCAAAAAAATACGTGACGACCTTTGTACATAAAGTTCATCATGCTTGTTGTTTGATTTATGTTAATTATTCTTTTTGAGTTGCCTCGATGCACGTTTCGATGTTTTGAAAGCTGGCGTCTATTGTTGGCAGTGAATGAACTCTGCAGGATTCGCCATTAAATATCCTTCTATAAAAGGTATATGAAGGCTAATTAAACAACTTCTGGTTTCAATGCTGAATGGCGAGGCACCGAACAAAACAACTTGCAGCAGCGCTGAAACCGAGAGTTTGCTTGACCTTGGTTGAGTCTAATTTTTTTGAAGTAATTTTATATTAAATCAAGTTTGTTGTGTTTCCATTTATTTAATTCATGTGGTGTTAGATTGTTAACATTTTATCCAAGCCACTAACAGCACTAATTATGATATTAACCTATGTGTGTCAAATAAAGGTTCAACTATGGTAAGTTATGCTCCGTGGTTCATTTTAACTCATGCTATAATTTTTCTCGTCATTATTTATGGTTCAGTTGCTACTAAGTGGATTTTCTTAAGTTCTTCAACAAAATTGATCGAATATCAAACGAATATTTCTTAAGAGTATTCTCTATTATTAATATGATCAATTTCTTTATTCGTTTCAATCAAAATTACAAAATAGGTATCGAGGATTTGAAACAGACGATGGAAAATAAAAGTCGAAACTGCTTTACCGACATATGTAGGTGCTTTCGACATTTCTACAAGTGCATTTGAGTGTTAGGAAATCAACACAACAATATAAAACAACATGACTTTCAGTGGATAATCAAATCTAAATGCAAAATAATTCATTATTATTATAATTAAATTGATTCTGATGTCAAAGTCAAGCTTATGTTGATATATTTATGATATTCGTAATCTTTTCCATTTGATCATTATACTCATTAGCAATTAAAATATTCGCATAAGAGTTCTCGATTTATATTCTAGCCATGGTTCCACTAAAGTTAATAACGCATGAAGCTGACAAAATTAACATAAATATCATGAAAATGAATTGAAATTCACCCTGGTTGGATTGCCACTAGTTCAGCAATAAAGCACTCGGTTTACTTGAAGACATGAACAGCAGAAATATTTCTAAGAGCATTAAATGACTTGCGGCGATTTTAAAAACTAGCATTCAAAGAATGTAACTGATCTCTAGACATTCGACACCTAATCACTTTGCTTTTAAACACGAAGTTAGTTTGTTTGAATATTTAAAATGCCGCATGAATTGATTCGATGTCAAAGCTTTCGTTTTCACTTAGAGAAGTGTTTGTGGAACGGAAGTGAAATAAAACGAAGTTTCACGATGATTTGCAAAATTGATATCGTACAACAAAGACGTTTTGATTATAACATTAAAACATTTTATGTTGATAGAAAATTCGCATTAACATTATAAAGATGTCAAGTCAAATAATTCGTAACTCTGTTAGCTTTCGAACACAAAGAAGTTTCAAATATATTTGCATTCATTAAATAAAACTGCGAATATTATTCGTGCTTCTCTATGTTAATATTAAAAAGTGCTGAAAAAAAAAATTAAAAAAAACTTTCATTGAATGAATAATAAAAAACAAGCGATGTTTAAAATGTTTCAAATGATTCTTCAAGTTCTTCATTTTATTTTTCCGTGTCTCTTTTTTTTCTCTCTGTCATTAAAATCCCTTGAAAATCTCACAAGATTGCGATGAAAAGTAATGAAAAGTGTGAAAGAAAAAGTGACAATGCTAATTACATTCCAACGACTTAGATACTAGGTAGAATATTTACTGAAATGATTTAATGATATTAAAACTAAAAATCTTTAATCTGCTGATGTGTTGTCGTTTGTATTTAAAGTTTCGTTTAGTTTTCTTTTATGTTTTGTTTGCGTTCCAAAATAATTTTTATTTATTCAGGTGGTTTTTCTTTTATTTAAGAAAGGGAATCAATTTTGAAAGATATTGATTGACATTCAGTGAGAGTTTTGTGAATGATGATGACTGAACAACGATCGAATGAGTGTTAAAATCTTTCAAGATTGTTTCCAGTGGTGTCATCAATGAATTTTTTTTTTTTGATTCTTCTTTTATTTAGTTTTAATTTTTATCTACAAAAGTTTTCCCCTCAATGATCTGGCTTTGTACTTTGTTCTTTTTGATGAAATTTTGTTGTGAAAATCATATTAAGAAAGGCGTCATCGCATTTGCTGCACGTTAAAGTAAAACTAAATCAGTGACGTCGTCAGTTCATTATTTGTCTTATACATTAATAGTTTTAATTCTACACTCGTTCACTGTTCACTCACGATTATTATATTTATTTATTATTCATTTAAGTAGAGGTTGTTAAAATGCTTTGCAAAATATTAATTAAAAAAAAGTTTCCTTTTTCTTCCAGCATTGAAATCTTTTCTTTTTCTCTCTTTTGCGTAAGAACAGAAGAAACTTTTTCATCCAACCGAAACTAATTGCACAAAGTCACATACGTACACACATTCACAACACTTACATCGATATCTTAATATCTAGACTTTAAAAATATTTCTTTTCGAGGGTTCTTCTTACTTATTTATGTATTTTTATGCATGTAGGTTTTATTAATTTAAAATGAAAAGGGGAAAGAAAGGAAAGAGATAATTTATGCTTTAATTAATGATTTTATAACGATGAAGCATAAAAAGTATGTTGCACGCAATTCGAACCGAAGATTCAAAATGTATACAATGATTACTTAGAATCTTTCATGGTGGGTTTATAGCAAATTAGGAGAAAAGGAATTCTAAAGCTTCTGAAACTTTCAAGAATTTTCATTATTTTTCATCACAACATAAATATTTTAATTATAAAGATCAATGTTTTTTTAAAGAAATGGAAGGAGGATATTTAAATGTGAGTTTTGTCATTTCTTTTCTTTTTGTACTTACAAATGGTAAAATATTGAATTGAATGCGGGAAATTTATTAAATTTAATAAGAATTAATCTCAATTTTCCCTTTTCGAAATTCGATATTAGACCATATGTAGACATGCAATTTAATTGCATTAAAAGAAAAGAAATTCGATCAAATTTCTCCATCTCTCACTTTAATGTTTATTGGCCACTTTCCGATTATCTTCAGCTTACATTCTCCCAATTATATTGAGCTTAAAAATCTTTAAGTGTTTGATTGTTTCAAACTCAAAAAATCATTTTCTTCTTCCATCTCTCGGTTAAAAATTATTTTCTACAAAAACTCATGTTATTTTATAAATCTCAAGCTACAGAAGTTTATTATCTACATTTTATTAAAATAAACGGAAAATAATTATTATCAATCATAAACATTTCCAAATTTTGCTTTCTTCTTTCTCCATATCTGCATTCACCTCATTCCTATAAGGTTTGTGGTAAAATGCAGAAAATTTTTACGTTATTTATGAACAAAAATCAAACTGTCGATGAAGAAATTAAGAAATCTTTAATGAAGAGAATCTTTTGCGACTTAAAATAACTAAAGTCGTCCGAATTTATCTTAAGAGAAAAAGAAATAGGAAAAAAGGAAAGCAGAAAATATTTTTTTGTCTGCTTAACGAATTTTTGAATCATTTTAGGTTTTTTTTTCATTTGTTTTGTTGCATTTATTTTTTTTCCACTGCTTCAGAAAAAAATGTCAATTACTGCCCTTTTGCGCTTATCGAAAGATCATCTAAATAGATTTTTGATTCTGTCGACTATCTCCGAGTAATCAGCCCATTTTGAGCTTGAGATCCGCCATTTGTTGTCACATGAATGAGTTCAATCTCGACAAGAAGGGGAAAATGATCGCTCGGTATTCTTGGATGTGGACAACCGACGACTTTGTTTTGACGCAACCAATCGGACGAAAGTGGACCGAGTAATCCCAAAGGTACCATACCTTGCTTCGAATAGAAAATGTAGTCGATAATACCTTTAAAATCGAATGTGAAGTTCGTGTAGGGCATGATGTTTTCGCTGTAAGCGGATGCGAGCTTGAAGGAATGGGTAAATTCATTAGGCGTATCACAATTGGAGATTTTCTGCAGACATGATTTGTAGCCGAGTTCTTTAAAGTCGGGATGATCCATTGACACCCGCCCAGAGCTGAGAAACTCAATCACGCCAGAATCAGGTAGTGAATTAAAATCGCCACATAACAAAAGTTGAACATTGTTCGTGTCGATCTTTTGTCCCGGTCGAAAACTGTGACTGGCATCGTCAAGAATTGTTTTCAATTCATTACTCAACATCATTGTCTGAATCAATTTCACGTCACAGAATTCAGGATCCCAATGAATGTGAGCTGTGCAGACGAGAATTGGTTGTGATATCGCGGCTTGTTCCGATGATAAACCATCCCAAGCATTTTCTTTTACTTTTAAAAGCGCAGCAAGGCCGATATTGTCCTTTGGCATCACACGATTCAGCATGTTGTCTGAGCCTTCGGCATTCGCCATCGCCAATTGATTGAATTCAACCAAATGTTCTTTGATCAGTGAGAATCTAATATGATTACAAATTATGATGTTTAATAAAAGAAAAAGTAGAAGAAAAAAAAGAAGAAGAATTTTACTTGTTTGCTCTGAAGAAAATTGCGCATCCATCGACATATTTTCGATCATTCTCCGACATTGTCTTAGCTCGTGATTTTGGCGAGAAGATTCCCTCATAGCCATCATTCTTGAGTTCAGGTTTAAAGAAATTGTAAAACTGGTCAGTCTCCACCTCTTGGAGGCTTATAATATCAGCTGAATAGTGACGAATCTCATCCAAAATTGCCTGTGGGTATAAAAAAGAAATAAAAAAAATTTCATTTGATGATAAAATAATTTGTGAAAGTTTTTTTTTCTTTCTTCGGTTTTACCTTCTTCCGATATTCCCACGTTAAAGCCCAGCTTGGACAGTAGCCGTACATCTGTCTGGTTGCATATTTATCGCATAAAACGTTATAGCACATCACTGTGAATATGCCTAAATGACATTTAAAATTTGCAATAAATATTTCTTCTTTATTTCCAAATCCTAATTAACAAAACCAAGAAAAAAGGTTTAAACTCACATGCTGGCCTTGTGCGGTTGGGTCTAGCGAGAGGTATCCATGGTCTTTGAGGCGGTGACGAGCCAGGTACTGTGACTGTGAAGAGAAAAATAACAAAATTGTTAACAAAAAGTTTGATCGTTCGATGCATTCATTAACAACGCAAAGAGAATTTTGTTGAATGATTGACATGGATGGATGAAAAATAATAAAGGAAGAGCAAGAAAGAGCCTTTTGTTATTGCTCGGTGATCTCAAAGTAACGCTTAAAAGAGTAACAAGTGAAATTTCTAGGTCGCTAGAACAATCAAGTTGCGGATTATTCGCCAATTTAAGCGTAAGAAATTTATTTAATACGAAATATCTACCGAAAACAGATTTATGAAGCTAAAGTTGAAGTCGATCCAAATGACGATTGTTGTTTCTTTTTTTTACAGCTCACTGAGTCTCACAATCGCGCAATCTTAACTCGCCTCGAGGTTTGAGAAATAAAAATTTATTTTCATAAATTTTAAGAAGAATCTTTTTGTGTTTTTTTTTTGAATCAACATGCGGCGAAAGATTTCTTGATTTTATTTTTTTCTTCCTTATTTTGGTCGCGAAGATTGCATTGAATGTAAACAATAGAGATTGTTGATGAATAAAAAAAGAAAGAATGAATTGAATTTCAATTGAAGAAAGAAACGTTTCTTATACCGCAAGAGATTCTTTCTCTTCTAGATATTTAATACTTTACATGTTTATTACCAACAATTATTTGATCTCAATTTTGATATCAGATGAAATGACAAAACGGAACAAATTGGAACTCAACAAGTTGATACAAGATAGAATGTTAAAAGGAAGGAATAAACTCAATTCTAATTTAATGGGATTAAGATATACTGATTTAGAATGTCAAAGGAAAGCGAAGTGATTAGAAATGATGAATGACAATCGTGAGAAATTTTAATATTTAATCAGACATTGATGAGTGAATGCGACCTTTTCATCATCAGATGTAGAAAAATCATTGATCCGATGATTGATGAGGAAGTTGAGTGATTGATCAGAGCGAGAAAAAGGGATCAAAGCCAATGAACCGTTATCATAGTGCTACCCAACTTCCATCAACATCAATTGAATTGAACAATAAAGAACATCGGACTTTTTTTTGGAATTGCACAAAGCAATTAACAGAAATTCAAAGGCCTTTGTTTGTTTGACGTTTAGCAAAACCAACATTTTTTGATTATTCAAAAATAAAAATGAAAAAAGAAATGAAATATCGATTGTTGTTGTTGAGAGAAGTGAAGGTAAAAATAGTTAAACACGAGCTCATAAAGTATCGCGAAAATGTAGTCCATTCTTCATGCTCTTATGATTCTAGGTAGTGCCTGCTTTTCCACCGTTCTAATCTAAATGTTTTTAAACTCTTTGTTTTTTCAATGTGTAATTATACAAGTCGATCGCTGCAAGAGATTTATTTACATAAATTGGTGCAATTTAAGTGGCGACGAATGAATGTATGTACATGAATTTATGACGAAACAAAAAACTAGATTAAATGCATGGATTATTAAGTATTTAAAGTGAAACTTCAAACTCGTGCTTTCAACATTCCCTTTCGCAGAAGCTTAAAGCAAATTCATCTTACTAATGAAATGAAGCCGTACAATGAATGAAGTTATCTCATTTCTATTGGCGAATTTCTTCTGACAACAACATTGATTAAAAGATCTGATGATAGCTTATTTCACTTGCAACTTACAACAAAGTGGATTTTCTTGTTTTTCTTATTAATTTTTTTTTGCTGCCTTTCTCACACGCCCCAATCCAAGCCTCGTTGACTTTCAGCGCATTACATGCGATCCAACTTTCATTTTTCAATCGTAAGCTCTTGAACAGTTTTTTTTCTGTTCCCTTCCTTACTTTTAATTTTTTTATTATTCTTCATTCGACGTTATCAGATTACAAGAATCTTCAAACTATGGCAATGTCTCACCTCGATTGCGGTCATGATAGGAGAAAGCTTAGCAAGAATGGTTATATGCTGATTGACTTTTACAAGATGCAATGCATTACAAACAGAAAATTGCTTTCAAAAGAGAGAAAGAAAAAGGTTCTACCCAGTCATCGTTATGCTTCAAGTGCGTTTCACGCAAAAGTGGTTTTTAATATTATTTTTTTATGGGAAAAATTTGTAAGTAAGTTTAGAAACCAGAAATGCGGCGACGAAGATAACGAGACACAATGGCACAGTAAAGAAAAGCAGGAAAAATCAGGCAATGTCGGCATAACCATTTTGCAATTGTAATTTTATTCATTTTTTCGTTTGATGTTTTTGTTTTTGGAAAATTGTCGCATTAAGAGAGAACAAACCATTATGTTGCCTCTTCTTCGCATAATTTTCTTTCTTTTTCGGTGTTTGGTGAAAGTAACCCACAACAATAAATTATTTTGCCTGCTGGCGTTTTTATTCGTCTCATGACGGTTTCCGCGATATTTTGTCGTAGCAGAAATAAGTCAGCCACGAGAGAAGAGTTTCCCTTCAGAAGAAGATAAGTAGCACTGTTTGGTCCAATAGATCACGTTTGAATACAATGTGTCATCCCGTCATCATCAATTCTTCAACTTTAACAAAGAAGTTGATGGAAGATCACCGCGAGATTAATTGTGATTAATCTTTAAGCTTTTTTTTATTACTTTTTTGCCGAGAAGCAGGAAGAGAACTGCACCACACAGCAACAACAGCAAAACTGTGTGACTCGCGCAGATCAGATAATTGAACGTTTGTCTGATATGTCGCAAGACAAATGAGGTCACTTGTGTGATGGAAACAAGATGAAATAAATAAATAAATGAAAAAAAAAGACAACAGAAAAATCGTTTAAGTGATACAGAGACTTAAGTCAACCTAAACAATCCGACAGAGCCAATTAGTCATTCATTTAATTCGTTCTCAATTCCGATTCACATTTTGTTGTAATTCTTTTATATTTTTGTGCTGTTGTTCTTCTTGTGTCATGTTTTGGCGAGAAAAGCACATCAGAAACAATGGCCAGCACCACACGGAATTGTGGTGACGAATTGCTTCATAAATAATGAAAATTTTCATATTTCAAACGAATGATCAAGTGAACAAGAATGTTGCTAAATATGGGATCGGTATCGTGACCAGGATGAGCGATTCAAGACGAGCTTGTTGCTTGACCAACTAATGTCTTTCTTCATTCTCACCTCTTACACTTATTAAAAATTAAAAATTGTGGTAGAAGTCAATTTCAAATGACTTTCACACGCGATCGTCATTCAAATCCATCTTCTTAAATTTCCCCGACCGACAGTCGGAATCATCATTAACGCACAGTTTTAAGTTTTAACCTCACGCCATCATTTCATGATCGCAATATTAGAAAAACACGAAATCATCTAATTTATCTCCACAATAAATAGCTTAACGAGTATCTTTCTTTTCGAAAACTCTCTCCGAAATCATCAGCAAATTGAAACATGGTGGAAAAGATTTCTTTTTCAACGTAATTAAGACTTTCGCGCGATCAACAACACGATCAAATTGAATAACAAACATTATTGCACGAGAGAACAATGAGCGAGTTTTGAAATGAATTGCGAAAATAAAAAAGATTTATAAATTGGTGAGAATGGATCATAAGTAAGGTGTTTTCAATTGATAAGTCTCTTGACCCAAATTGGAAAAAAGAGAAAAAGAGAAGGAAAGATAAAAGTTAATATACTTCATCGTTTGCTTTTGCCTTCTTTCACACTTGAGTATTCTCTTGAAAACATTTACCTTTTCCAATTTTACTTTCACTTCGCCTTATTTATTTTTTTCTTGCAATGTGTCGTTACTTTAACTGCTGTTTTCTTCTTTATTTCTTTCTTTTTTCTTGTCTTCAGTTGATGCTCAAAGAAGTGAATATCTTGAATTAAATATGTATCATGAAATTGATTTTCTTTTGTTAGCTATGGAGATTGCAAGAAATGAAATTCAATTGAAAATCATTCATCAGATATTCAAAGAACAAATCTGAAATTTAGAAATCAAAGGGAAACAAATAAAATGCCAACTTCCGATTGAAAGACAATGATGAATTTAAACAACATTGCCACACTTTCCCTATCCTTCTCGGCTTGATTTGAATCAAAAACTCAAATCAATTATCGATTAAGGTGAGTAAATTGCATTGCCCTAGGAGAAAGCAGATCATTGATTCATGTTTCGCGATATTTGTAATTTCCAGAGCAAGCCAACATTTATACAAGTAAAAGAAAAGTTTGCAATCGACTCAGCAACTAGAACGACAACTGTTCCATAATGTGACAGATTTTTTTTCTCGCTTTTTCGTTACATTTAAAATCGGCTTGCTAGAAAGTTTAATAAATTATTTACAATATACATTGAGAGCTTATATCCAATCAGGTAACAATCACAGTGCGTATTGCATTCTCAATACGACTCGTCTTCACGGTAAATTCATTTTTCTCGCTTAATTTATTTCAAAATAAATTATAAGAGCAGAAACTGCAGTGAAGGAAAAGATTTCTTTTTTTCCAGTTCAATCAACGATAAATCGTGAGGTGGGCGTCTTTGAAAAATTACAAAAATGGAAAAGAAAAGTGAATCCTCCTCCTATCCAAAACAGGTAAAGTTACATTATAAATCAATAAATATTATGAAAAAAATAAACATTTGTTGAAGTTGTTCAATTTCCTTGTTCGACATTTAAACTCTGAAGTTTGTTTTTATTGACGGTCTTTTGGATGACTTACTAAGCAAATAATTGCTTTCTAAAATAATCACTAAGTAATACAAAATGCTTCTTAATCAAATTTATTAACCCTACATTACTCAAACGCTGATCCAATCAATTGACGTTCATCAACCAATAAATTTTCATAAACTTCATGCTTTCATATTGGATTGAAATTTATGTAAATTTTCATCTTAGATTAAATAGTTGTGTGGATGTGTAATGTAGGGTTAAAGCCCAAACGAATTTAAAAGAGAAATTTGCCTTAAGATGTTAGATACTATTAATAAATATTTTATAATAACAATTCCACAAAAAGAATTAAAATAAAAAAAAAGAAAAGCTTTGAATGATGAATGGAGGGAAAGAATAAAAATCTTTTGAGATTTTATCGCTCTTTTCTCATCAAACTAAATTGTATATAAAGAAAAATTAAATGAAAAATAAAATCGAGCGATTTTATATACTCAAATGAAGAAAAAGTTGAGCTCATTAAATGGAAATTACATGAATACATGTTGCAACTGAAAGTCTATTGTTCTGTTATTTCCAGTTCATCGAAAAGCCAAACTATGTGGGTGGCTAAGTAACTTTACAAAAAAAAAGTAAATATATGAAAAGACAAAAAAAAATAGAAAACATTTTTGACATACAAAAAATTTATCAAGTTTCGTTTTGTAGTTTTTTTCTATACCCAAACAATTTCGTAATTAAAAACATTTTGACAATAAAATTGCGGGACAAAGAAAACCATTTGATTTCTAAAATTATGGCTCCAATTAAATTGACAATATAATTATTACGTATAAATAGCTTAATGTTAAAAATCTTTAAAATTTATTGTTTGTTTGAAAGAAAGAATATTTTAATTTGAATTTATAATTCAAAGATCAATGATCGGAATTATTGGAATATTTATGTTTGTATTTTCATTGATTAATATTCCATGCTTGAAATCACTTTAAGTTTCTTCTTTTATTCTTTAAGCTACGCATTTGCTTCATTAAGTTTGTGTCACGAGATCAGCAATGCTTTTAAAAAAGAAACACTTGTAATCTGTCATAAAGCAAGCGTTTCGTGTCTCAAGTCGTGTCTCTGAAAAAGCTCCACGAAAATAACAAGACAAAAAATTTTCGGCTTATCTTGCAATAGTCAATGAATGAAATTGTGCTTAATTCGCCTCCCACAAATTATCCCAGAAAGAAGAAGAAAGAAAAACATTCCATGACAAAACAAGCGACATCAATTCAAGAATGAAACAAAAAGCGAAAAAAATCTCAAGACACCAATTGCCCAACCGCACCATTAAAGCACTCTCAGTACAAAGTTTGTAATTCTTCATGTTTTTGTTTCATTTTTTTCTTACTTCACTCTCTTCCCTATGACGGCTCAGCTTACCTTTATTTCTGAGTAATAACAAACAAAAGCGAGAAACTAAATAAGCGACAATTTTCCACTTAGAATTGCAAAACAATTGTGAATAATGGCGTTGCCTCCATAACATACATTCACTTTATATAAAAAGTTAAGCGGCTGATGCGAACTTCATCAATGAAGCGAGAATATAAAAGACTGCTATGAGCTGTTAATATCCAACATTGCAGAAAGATTGCAATCATTTTGAACCCTCGGGGGAACTTCGAAAAAAATATATTACAAACTCAAATGTCGGGCGAATTTCAATTTGAAAAATATTTCTTCAAGCAGCAATCATAAATGGTACACATTAACGACGATTTAGGCATTAAAGGGAGTGAAGCTTTTGACATTTACAGACTTTATGAACTTTGGTTGCTTTATTTATCCATGTACATGAATGTATGTTTGTTCTCTTTTGGATTCCATTACATCGTTGAACATTAATTGGCTTTTAAGCGCTTGAACTAACTCAGTCAGCACGATGCGAGAAAATTTCAAATTTTTTTCACATTTAATAAAAGTTTTGTGTGAAACTTACGCAAGAGACACGAAGTAATGTCGAAGCACCTGAGGAAACAGTGCAGATATATAAAACAAACCTCACAAGTGGAATTATGGTGCGAACTCGCTTACTTATGATAGTTCATTGAATTTTAACAGCACAACCCTGATATTTAATAACAATTTTTCACCTACATTTCAACTTTTTTAATCAAACGACACAACTACCTGTAAGAAGGTATTTATCGGGGCGCAAAGCATTTTCTTAATGGTTTGCTTATTTTTTATACTATTTAAGCGGAACATAGTAGATAAATAAATATGCGAGTGCATGTGAATTGTGAATATTCAATATGAACAATTTTTGATTTCATTGAACAGAATGAGCGAGTTGAGAAGGAAAAAAATTACATTTGTAAAGAAACATTAAAACTGCTTTAATGACGAAAACGTGAAATAACTTTCAGCTTCCAATACACAAAAGAGCTTTTCAATGAATTTATATTTTTATTCATCGAAACTGGATAGAAAACAAAAGCATGAATCTCAAGTTTGACGCTTCGTAAAGTTTATTGAATTATGTAAGATATCGACATGAAGAAGGAAAAACATTTCGAATAACTGGGCGCGAATCAATTTGATGTTGAAAGCAAGCAATGTACCGTGTTCGTCCCTGAACCATCAAAAGGGCTTTTTCTTTCGATTATAGACATATGTTCATAAATTCGTGTACGTATGTTAATTTTTCAACAAGAGACATGAGATTGCGAACGCACATAACAATTGAAAAAAGCTAATTGAAGATAATCTCTCCCGAACTTATATGAAAAGCGAAGACGATTCGATTATTAAAGTCTCAAGTTCAACAATAATAAATAAATTCGCGCAATCGTGTAAATAACAAAAGCAAACTTTATTTTACAATTCTGTAACTAATAAATTGTGAAAATATGAAGCGAAGTCAAGTTTTAAATTAAACAATTTGCATAGATCGAGCGTCAAGACGAGATCGAGAGAGAGAGAGAAAAATGAAATAAAATAAGAAAAATAGCTTGGCGAGTTGAATTGCTGCTCTCAGTTCATTTTAATTTATCTGTGAATGTCAAATGGCGATATTTTGTAATGTTATTTATCCATCCGCGCCCTCAACGTGGACTCTGTGCTGCTAACTGCTAACATGCTTGCTAAATCAGCTATTTGTTTTGTATTTTCAATTTTGTGCTTCATACGAATAAACTTATCTTTATAAATGAAGAAGTAAAAAGATACTTGTGAAACTTAATAAAGGAGGAAACCCGGTAGTGATTCACCAACAGATAAAGATTATTCCTTGTACTTAAAACAGAACAAAATCTATCATTAGAAATGCCTTTTTTTTTTCTTTAAATATTCTATTAATGAAGTTTTCCGTCCCTCATATCATATAAAAGTTGACAAGAATTTAAATTGAATTTCTTTCATTTTTCTGCTTTTACTGCAGAATTATGACAACGATCGAAAACATTTCTCTAATGAATCGAACATTGAAGCTCAAGTTATGTTAAGTCAATAAATTCTACTGAAATGGTATTTGAATGTAAGCACAAAGCGGAATCGAAATGGAAAGTTTCAAGATAAACAGCAAAGAGGCGAGTTTCTCCAAGACGTCTCAGACAAGAAGAGAAATCATCGTAATGATCTCGATCGTACTTTCATACCTCATCAAAACAAAGTCAAACAAACGAAGAATCAATTAAATTGTTGTGTATGATGATTCATAAAAGTAAATTTAACGAGATACGCGCGAGTAACTTCTCGTCATTGAAACTTAAACTTAAAGGACAAGGCAAAGCCCAATTGGGATTTCAATTAATCTAATAAAAATTTAAGCTGACTATAAATAATTAAATAACATTTCAAAACAAAAACAAATATCATTCGTTTCAATATGTGAGAAAAACAATTTCGCACAATTCACGCCTCTGATCGATATTTCTTTCATTCAGAACTTTATTAATCTTTCATCAATTTTAAGCGAGAACTCTTTTACATTCAAATTGAGTGAGAATCTAGCAAGCAATCAATCCCCTAAATATACAAAGCAAACATTTCATTAGTCATGTCCTAAAGTTATTCGAAAGGCAGCTGTAGAGAACAGCATGTATTGAAACATCAGCCTACCAAATTGGTTTATATTACTTCACTAGAATAAAAAAAGAGTACAAAGAAGGCGATACGAACGAGTGAGAATGTTGAATAGATCTTAAGCTTCTATCAAGAACAGAGGAAAAGAGAAGAAACCTTTTAAGAAGCTCGAATCGAAAGGCGAAGGTCAATTGTAGATCAAAACTAAATCACAATCATTTACCCCTTAAATTACTCGTCCAATCGCCTCCCGCATTATAAAATCTAACACGAAAGTTCGCTTTTTCTTCTCTTCCATCTATATTTGCCATCACAACCGACAGGCACAATCGCGATTTGATGAAAACATTAGAGACGGAATGGGCGCACAAAAAAAAGATAAAAGTAATTTTTTGCTGAAGCTAATTTAAATCACACAAACTTGTTACAATTCGCTTTTTTTTCATTTCTATAGAAGAGAAATAATATTAAAAAAAAAAGGTTTTTGCGAACAAACTAGATGCCCCAGAGCAACAAAAATAAAATAAATTAAAAAGCAATTTCTTTTGCCGCGTTCCATCAATCATATTTTTCTCCATTCACTCGCCTCATGGACCCGTCATCGTAGACGTAAGGTGAGTTTGCAAAGTGAATAACTTCATTGAATGTTAAAGAAATTGACCCCAAAGCCATTGAAAATATCCTACATTAGCCCTCCGATCTTTTTGTGCGTTTCTTTCATTCAGTCACTTACAATCATAAATAACAAAAGCAGTTCAAAAACTAATGCTAAGAGAAAGTTCTTCCAACCGCATTGTGGTTCCATTTTCGGGAAAAAGAAAAGTATAAAAATACAAAAAATTCGACTGAGAGTTTCGTTGCAATGTGTTAAAAGGAGGAAAGAAAAGCACATTCAACTCGGAACTGACAGCGCATTAAAAGTCATCATTTGATGAGCAAAGAATACGACACAAAGAAAAATAAGAAAGATATCGTGAAATTTCACTTTTGACTTCTTCCCATCCAATCAACACCAAACGTTGAATTCATCAACGTAGTTTCTCTTTTTTTATATATTTTAGGTGAAAAGATGAATTTTTTTTCTTGAATTTTTTATGTTGGTGACAAAATGGAACTTTTAAATAACAACGTTATGTTGCATTATCACGTGTTTTGGACTTAACAACATTCTTTCTTCAACTTCGAACCATATCAACAATGATTGGAAGCGATTAAAAGCCATCATCACGTACATTTTCTATTTAGTAAGCTAACGAAATGCTGATGCCCAAATGTTCTATTGTTTGGAGGCTTAATAAATAGTAAATGAGAAATTAGAATTATGTTTTTTTGATGCGATGGGATGTGATGTGATGGGCCACTTCAAGTGGAAACTTCTTTGATTTCTTATAAAATCTTTTGAGTCTTTTTTTTTGTTTCTTTAAACTGAAATGTTTCGTCTTAAAGGAGAAAAGAAGGTTTTACGAAGAATTCAGAGGCTGGTGACCTTAAGAACGAGCACAATTATCAACTTCAAGCTTTTGCTTTTCGTGAGAAACAACTTCCAAGAAATTTTCTAAAGATACTTATGATCCTTTCCACGTCATATCAAGACGATCAAAAAATGTTCTTTCTTTCAAACTTTCATGACCACCATCTACGATTGAATTTAAATCATGATGGTTGTTATTATTCATATCTAAATTACTACTAAAATTTTGCTTATTTACTAACATTGGCGACATCAAGTTGCCATAATTACATGTGCCACTGTTGTCTAACACGGGAACTGTATCCAAATCACTTCCGCGATGGTGATCACTGAATTCGCACATTTTAATACCATTGTTGTTGCTATTGTGGTTTGATTGGAAGCTCAGCAAGTTATCTAGTTGAGAGCGATTTTCGGCAGCTAACTCATTTGCATTTAAATGTGAGTCGTTTGTATTGTTGATCATGTCGATTGAAGAGATTAAATCAGTTGCTCTTGGTGTTGACATGAGACTGAAATCTGATAGTCGTTGCGTAATTGCGTTTAATTTCTCGCTTGTTAAATTGTCACCGAAAGTTTTTAAGGTTGATGTGAGAATGTTGTCTGATATTGTAAGACCGCCAAGAAGAAGATCACATCCAGAATCACCTGAATCACTTGAACTTTCACTTCGCAAACGATTAACTTCCATCACGAGAGATTTTTGATGCTGATGATTATTAAATTCAATCATGTCGAGAATTGAAAATGTTGATCCGCCTCTTGAGTTCCATTCTGTCTTCACTCGGTTACCTCCAATGACACCGACATCTTTTTTGTTTGTCTCAATGTGCACAGTATCAAAATTACTATTGTTGTGATGATCCAATTCAACAGCTGAATTATCGCTGAATGACCTTCTTAATGGAAAAGCCCAAATCTTACAATTCGGATCACAAAGCCGACAGCTGCATGAACTCGCTGTAGTTGATGATGAGAGAGATGAATTAGATAATGAAATTGGTGACGATGAGGTCGATGATGGAAGTGGTAAAAATGTACTTGGATCAAAATCACAATTAAAAAACAAATTATTTTCATTTGTTGGCGGTGCAGGTTTTTTAAAATTATCGTTTGCTGATTGAGTTTGGTAAGCGTTGTTATTACTTGTTGCACTCATGTTTTGCATAAATCCATTGGACTGGTTTGATGAGAAAGCGAAAGGATTAGGTGGATTGTTTTCAATCGATGTACTAGCAATTGGCTTTCTATCTTTCTTTCTTCGCTTTCTTGGCTTTATGATTCGTGGCAAACACGTTCCGTTTGCATGATAGCCTGCCTCGTCATAGTTATGTGCATCATCCACTAGAGGTGCCTTTGAGCATCCATTAATATTATTATTTCGTGTATCTCCACTCTCGTGACTAAATGGTTGGACGAGCTTCAAAGATTTATTTTGATAACGACTCGCCATTATAATCGGTGCACCTTGCGTATGTTTTGCCAGCCGTGACATCGAGTTCTCATCATATTCATATCCATTGCTTCGACTTGATTGAACCTTTTTACGGCGTGTTGAGTCGAGTGAAGACTTAACTAGTGGAACGCCTGTCCATTCATTTGCATTTGAAAATGTATTTCCATTTTGATATATTTGCTGGTTATTATGATTGAAGAAATTGAGCGGCACCTGATGTTGGTGCATCATAAAATTTCCATATCCATCCATGCATGTTGATGATGTTGAGCTCATCATAACATTTTTACAACCCACGTTAGTTATTCTCCGTCGTTTAATTCAGAAGTTTTTCGTCACAAATAAAAAACAACACAAAACTAACTCGGTCCCCAAGAAAAAATTAACGAATACAAATTTCTACTTCAGTTGTTTGTTGTTGATATATGGACCATCACACATCGCTTCAGTTATCATCGCACCACAATTTTCATCATTACTCTGCTCTGATTTTCAAACTGATTTTCTTTTTCTTGTTTTTGCCCGGAATCTTTTTTTTTTCTTTTTATTATGAATTTATCTTTCCAATTAATTTGCGATTTCTTTACTCTGCTTTTGCTTTCTTTTTTTCTTCTCTTTAATTTAACACGAATTCACGGTTCACAGAAATTTTCATTTTTTTAAAAAAATTCCTACACTTCCTAATTTTTCATGAATATGTGAGCTGTTAATTGTTGATTCTTCGTTTAGATCCGAAGTCTCGATTAGAATTTTAATGAAGGAATTAATTCGCGAATTATGATTTATATGAGACGCGTGTTCACGTAGAAGAGCTCGTGCTTTTGAGTTGTTTCCACTTCGCGAGTTAGTGAGCAACTGAATTGTTGAGGCATAACTCAAGCATGATCCACAACAACTCTCGGCGCTTTGCTTTTCTCTCTCATTCGACTGACTGCAAAGCATTTTCTCTTACAATTTTTCTGTCTGTTTTCTCTCAAAGCTTAGCGACAACAATTGCGACTCTCTTTCTTCAATTTTATGTTGTTTCTTAACTCATCCCCGAATGCAATTGAATATTTTTTCTTTGTGCTTCACACATTAGTTCAAACGAGCAAAGATAGCAGAGAAGAATGAAAAGTATGGCAGTCGGTTACTAATGTTAATTGTCATGACAAAAAGAACACAATAAAAGCCCAACAAATCTTTTCCCGAGATGTGATTGATGATTGAAATCATAAACAACAGTCTACGAGAGATATATTTAAGTACATAAACGTGCATCATAAATTATTCTATACCAGACAAGTTGGAGCGCATGAATGTTTGATTCAATAGAATCTCTTAAGTTTATTATGATCCAATGCCGTTAATCTGAGAATATTCGTTTAAAATTTTGAGTCATAATTTATTCCAAAAATCATCCAACCCACGCAAAGCACAAAAAAAGAAGAAATAAATAAATAAATAATTCAATTAATTTGAGCTGTTTTTAAAACTCGATAAATCATCAGCAGGAAGCTAAGAATTAAAAATCCGCAAGTTCATTGACAAGGCGAGTTGTTCTTTATGACGATTACTCACAATGCTTACAAACTGTTTTATTCCATTGGTCTATGATTTTGTAACTTATTGGTTAACATAAATATTTTTTTAGGATTGAATTGGGTGAGCCATAAGATATTGTTACATAGCGAATTGTGAAACTTTTAAATGTTCACGAGAGAAGTGACGTAATGGGTTGATGATCAATCATCCGTAATTTACCTATTTAATTACCAATTAACTTTAATCGGACACAAAGCTGAATGTTTTATCGTTAAAAGTTGAAGTTGAAACAAAACATAAACACTAATAAAACAAAATAATTTGACTAAATATCGAAAGCCAGATACGATGAATAAAAGTAAAGCTCAATTTACGATCGTTACAAACAACCAAAAAAGAAGAAAAACTGTATAGAAATTACGCGACGTGAAAACTACCTCGCAGCACAAACTTTTGGTTCCGCAAACTTTCACTTTATTTATTTTTTTAAACGAGAAATTGTCATTATGCTCGTCTGTGTTGTTGGAATGACTTGCGATTGAAGCAGTTGGCGGTAGGAAATGATGATCATTTAGAAATCTTAAACACTTCTTAATAGAGATCTCATCTTACATGTACATAATGTTTGATTCACGACTCTGCTCTACTTACTCTTCTTCTTTATTTTATTTCTGATATTTTTGGTTGTAGGTTGGTTCGTTGGTACTCATAAGTAGAGATTTAAAAGAAAATAAAAATCTCCATAACAAATCTAACTTAGAGAAAATCTTAAACCCAAATTTATAATCTAATTTTCACGCAACTCCAATTAGCAAAAATAAGAAGGAAAAAAACTAAAAACTTGATCTTTCCGAAATCGCTTATCGATGTGGAACGAAAGGCGATCATCAACATAACTCAGTCTTAATGAAATGGCAAAGAGAAGAACCAATGTTCTCTATAGAAAGTCTTCAAGCAGATGTTGTAAGGAAATAAATGAAAGAGTAACGAGAGGCATGTAGCAAACATTACAAATATTTTGTACATTTGCTTGTCACTACCATCTTCAATTGCTACGCCCGTATCTTTAAACAACATGAGGAAATGCGGTTCTGCTTGGTTTTTAATCGTTTTAAAAATAATTAAACTACGATAAAAGTACTAAAGACACATTTACTTGGTAATTTCTTCAATTACGGCTATGAACTCAAACATTAATTCGTTTCATTTCTTAAGCAAAACCCTTTCTTAACGCTTCGTCAGCAAAAGCTAAGAAGAAACTTTTAAGTGAAAGTTTTTTTTTCTTTTCACTTCTTTTTGTGTCGTTTGCTAAATCACGAGATTTTTTTTATTCATTTTTCGTCGGTTTAAATGATGAAAAACGGATGAGAGAAAGAAATTAATAGCATTTTGGAATCTAATAAGAAATACAGCGAAGCAGTAAATGAAAGCAAGACAAAGAAGATTAAACGTTTAAATTAAATGAGATGAGATACGGAGAAGATAACGCGATTTCATTAAAGATGGAAAAGCAGTCAAATGGTTTAGGAAATAGTCAAAACAGTTTGCTCGGTTAACTTTTTTTCTCCATTTTTCAACTTATTAACATCACAATTCATTCTTTGTTCCATCGCGAGTAATGGTTCACGACAACTTCTGGGAAGATTTCACATCGCTGACCATTTTGGGTAACATTTTACGGGTCAGTAGAGACGTTAATCTTTTTTTCCGAGTTCATTTTATATTCGAGTCAGAGATTACTCATCGAACTATTATTTTAAATCTTTAAACACGAGACTCACATAGATGAGAAGTGATTTAAGACATTTCAAGGCTGGCTTCTTTCAAAACGCACTGGGAATTTTAAGGTTTGATTGTCCGCAAACAAATTCTCATCAAACCAATAGATTTACTTAATGCTACACCATCGACACCAGTTCTGCATTAATATTTAAACGTTTTAATTGCAAAAGTTAAAAGCTTTGTGTAGCTAATTGCCGAGCAAGGATTTTTTTTTGTGTAACAATCAGTTTGCTTGAAGACAAGATCATGTTTGATGATAGCGACTACAAAGAGTTTGCTTTTAGTTTTTTTATGACTTATGACCTGCTTCTTACAAAGTGACGTTTATTATGATTTCCACAATCGCTTAATGCAATTAAGACAGTTTAATATTACAACTCGTAACTAATAGCGATTTATGTTGATCGTGAAGTGAAAATCAAAATATATTTCAAAGGCTTTTCTCTTTTACGTTGATGTATTTGTTTCAAGGTTAATAAATAAAATGTACTCACGACTGTAATTGTCCAGCATGTGCGTCAAAAGCTTATTGGTTCCATTAATGTCATTATAGATTGATAAGATGTCCTTTGTCAAAGGATTTCCGTGAAGTCCTAGAACAACGAGATGAAACAGCTTTCCAAGCTCGTAAGGCAGATTGCGGAGCATGTTGTGACTCAAATGAAGTTCTCTGAAATGGATGTGATATGAAAGTTAATTATTTCAGATACAATCTAATGAAATCTTAATTTTAACTCACCTCAATTGAATTAATTCACCAAGTTCAGCGGGTAAGCTCCTCAACTTGTTGTTCGACAAATCTAATGTCCTCAGATTGACGAGGAGCCCAATGTCAGGTGGCAATCGAGTTAAAAAGTTGTCATTGAGATACAAAGCTGTGAGATGTTCAAACTGCCACAATTGTGGGCTGATATTACGGACATTGCCTGATCGTATAAAAGTGGAAATATAAAAATTTGTTACAAAGTAATATTTGAAATCTTTTCACCTGTAATCTCTACTCCTTGCCACGATGATTTTCTGCCGGCTGCAAAGTCTTCAGCAGACATGAAAGTCTGTTGTCTCCTGTTTATTGTCTCATATTTATCTTTTCGAGACATTTTGTTAAAAACACTATCTGTAAAAAGTTGTTTATTAGAAGCTTTTCTGAGAATCGATTTTAAATTAGACAACATTAAAAAGTATACAAAAACAAACATTTAAATATGAAAAAGAATTCATGCGACATTCTTCTTTGCCTCAATAAAAAAAAGCATCAAATGCCGGTTTGATTCAAACACACGAATGTTTGATACAAAACGGAATGCTCAAGCTCATTTTCGATTGAAATTAATGCAAATCTTATGACATGGAGGCACAGACAAGAGACAAGAAAGATGTCAAATAGACAGAAATAATTTAAAAGGAAATACAAGCTATTAATAACAGCATAAACACAAAAAGGCTAAAACCTACTTCAGTTAGATAACAAAAATTTCTATTTTTCTTGTTAAACGAAATGTTATTAAATGAAACTTAACTATTTTTCTCCTTCAGCATATCGGGATGCAACTCATATAAAACGTTTTATGTTAATATAATTTAATTGTAATCGCTTGCCTTAGTTAAACTATTTTAAAATTCAAAAAATTTCCGAATATGTAGTATGAAAACAAACAAATGAAGATTTGTTGGGGCTTGATTAGAAGAAAACAAAAAAAAATGTTATGAAAAAATGCTAAGCGAGAGGCTGAAGCCAATTCCGTCACCACCATTTATTGCGAATGAAAATTGTGAACGGAAATTGAATCATAATTATTGCTTCAAATGAACTTTCTTCTTTAGGCAATTGTAAAATAAGATAGTTAGGCTTAAACCTATTTTCAAACACAACTCTTCTATGATTGTAGATGATAAGTTTTATGAAAAAAATGTGTTAAAATATGTATAGGGAAAAATGTAAATTGACTATCGCTGCGATGAATTTTTACCATCAATTTTCTAGTAGAAATTTCGTTTATTGGGCGATATATTTAAATTAAAGAGATTGTTAAGCACTAGAAAAACACTTCAAAACTTATTTGAATTACAGTTTTGTTTGATATTCCTCAATTATTACACTTTTTCGCCAACTATTTTGCAAATCAAACTCTACACGGACAGAAAAACTTGTAGCATTGAGGTGAATGAAAGTCAGGAATTCTTTTCGGATATTTGAAGAGTTGTTTAAATAATTCTCTGCTTATAATCTTTGGAACGTTTACTTTTTTCTCAAATTTTTAATTATACTGAATAACAAGCTTCTCCTCAGTTGAATTATCAACTTTTAGAAATGGTGGAATGCTTTTAACAGATTTCTAACCGTGTTGTTAAGTCCTGAAAAGTGCTAAAAAAGTGCTAAAGTCAAGTCGACAGAAAAACAATTTCAACTGATCAAAAAGCGCTTGGATTGACCGGTCATACAAAACATTTTATTAGGTAGTTTTGTTATTTAAAAGGATAAATTAGAATTTAAAGATTAGTATTTCTTAGTTTAAAATGGATGAACTCGAGAAACTCGAACATCTTTCACTCGTCTCTAAAATTTGTATGGAACTTGAGAATCATTTAGGATTAAATGATAAAGATTTAGGTAAATTCAAAACGATTATAATCACGACATTCTCTAATCAATTGTTAATTCTAGCTGAGTTTATTATTCATTTGGCTGAAGAAAATCCAAAACTCGAGGATTTCAAGAAAGAACTCATCAAAAATGGAGCGGAATTTAATGACTCCTTTATAACAAACTTACTTCGAATTATTGTTCTGATGAAACCTTCAATAGGAAAGAAATCAGGAAATTTACCGATTCTTGACATTGCTCCTGAAAAAGATTCACTTTCAAAGAAATTTCCTGGTCTTGCCATTCCAAATAAATTTAAAGATTCTGATGAGGAAAAAGAAGATAAAAAAGTAAAGTCAAAGGACGATGCTGTGGTCGTTGATGATATGATGGCAGAGTTGGAAGCACTTGCACCTGCTGGTAAGACATCTAAAAAAGAAGAAGAAAAAGTGAAAATAAAAAAACGAAGCAGATCTCGAGATCGTAAAAAGAGATCAAGAAGCCGTTCCAGAGACCGAAAACGATCAGTGTCAAGAAGCAGATCAAGAGATCGTAAAGAAAAGAAGAAAAGATCTCGATCAAGAGATAGAAAACGAAGATCTCGATCCAATGAAAGACGTAGAAGAAGCAGATCGCGTGATAGAAGACGCCGTTCAAGATCTTTTTCACCAAGAGATCGGAAGCGACGAGATCGCAGTCGTTCTCGTGAAGAGAAGAAAAAGAAAATTGAACTTAAAGATGATCCGGAACCTGGAAAAATCTACGATGGGAAAGTTGCAAATATTGTCAGTTTTGGATGTTTCGTTCAGATATTTGGATTGAGAAAGAAGTGGGAAGGCTTAGTGCACATCTCTCAACTTCGTTCAGAAGGTCGTGTTGCTGATGTCAACGATGTGGTGAGTCGTGGCAATAACGTTAAAGTCAAAGTCATGTCAATCACCGGCTCGAAAGTTTCACTCTCAATGAAAGAAGCTGATCAACTTACAGGAAACGATCTCAATCCACTTTCACATCGACCGCCTGATGAAGATATGAGCGCAAGAAATCCTGATCGACCCGTTGGAGCAATGTCAATGTTGTCGTTGCCAGTTGGCAATGCTGATGATGAGGATGATACAGCAAGGAAGCGTGTAACTAGAATTTCCAGTCCTGAGCGATGGGAAATTAAGCAAATGATATCATCGGGAGTCATTGATCGAAGTGAAATGCCAGACTTTGATGAAGAAACCGGTTTGCTGCCAAAAGACGAAGATGGTGAAGCTGACATTGAGATTGAAATTGTTGAAGAAGAACCGCCATTTCTGCAAGGTCATGGGCGAGCACTTCATGATTTATCTCCAGTCAGAATTATTAAAAATCCCGATGGTTCTCTTGCTCAAGCTGCTATGATGCAATCAGCACTTGCAAAGGAAAGACGTGAACAGAAAATGCTTCAACGTGAACAAGAAATGGACTCAAAACCAGCGAATCAAGGAAAGAATTGGAGTGATCCATTGCCAGAAGATGAAGAGAAGAATTATGGAGAAACATCCAGAGGAATGGGAATGCCGCCACCACAAGACATTCCTGAATGGAAGAAACATGTGATTGGTGGTAAGAAAACTTCTTATGGAAAGAAAACCGATATGACAATTGTTGAACAACGACAATCACTGCCCATTTATAAACTTCGCGATGATCTCATCAAAGCCGTGTCTGACAATCAAATTCTCATCGTCATTGGTGAAACTGGATCGGGAAAAACGACACAAATCACTCAATATCTTGCTGAAGCTGGTTTTGTGAGTCGTGGAAGAGTTGGATGTACTCAACCTCGTCGTGTTGCTGCAATGAGTGTTGCAAAAAGAGTTGCTGAAGAGTTTGGTTGTCGTTTGGGTCAAGAAGTTGGTTATACAATTCGTTTTGAGGATTGCACAAGCCCTGAAACTGTCATCAAATACATGACAGATGGAATGATGTTGAGAGAATGTTTAGTTGACTTAGATTTGAAAGGATATTCAGTGATTATGTTGGACGAAGCTCATGAAAGAACAATTCACACTGACGTTTTATTTGGATTGTTGAAGCAAGCTGTAAAGCGACGACCAGAATTGAAACTCATTGTGACATCAGCAACACTTGACGCAGTGAAATTTTCACAATATTTTTTTGAAGCGCCAATTTTTACAATTCCTGGACGAACATTTCCTGTTGAAATTCTCTACACAAAAGAACCTGAAACTGATTATCTCGACGCGTCACTCATCACAGTCATGCAAATTCATTTACGTGAACCACCTGGCGATGTTCTTCTCTTTTTAACTGGTCAAGAAGAGATTGACACAGCATGTGAGATTCTTTACGAAAGAATGAAGTCCTTGGGTCCAGATGTTCCTGAACTTATTATTCTTCCTGTTTACTCGGCTTTACCTTCTGAAATGCAAACGAGAATCTTTGAACCAGCTCCACCAGGAAGTCGAAAAGTTGTCATCGCCACAAATATTGCAGAAACTTCATTGACAATCGATGGAATATATTATGTCGTTGATCCAGGATTTGTGAAGCAAAAAGTTTACAATTCAAAGACTGGAATGGATTCACTTGTTGTCACTCCAATTTCACAAGCTGCTGCTAAACAAAGAGCTGGCAGAGCTGGTCGAACGGGACCGGGAAAAACTTATCGTCTTTACACAGAACGCGCTTATCGCGATGAAATGCTTCCAACGCCAGTTCCTGAAATTCAACGTACAAATCTTGCAACGACCGTTCTTCAGTTAAAGACAATGGGAATCAATGATTTACTGCATTTTGATTTCATGGATGCTCCACCAGTGGAATCACTTGTGATGGCTTTAGAACAACTTCATTCGTTATCAGCACTTGACAATGAAGGTTTACTTACAAGATTAGGTCGACGAATGGCGGAATTTCCACTCGAACCGAATTTATCGAAAATGTTGATCATGTCAGTAGCATTGCAATGCTCTGACGAGATTCTTACAATTGTCTCAATGTTGAGTGTTCAAAATGTTTTTTACCGGCCAAAGGATAAACAAGCGTTAGCTGATCAAAAGAAAGCAAAATTCAATCAGATTGAAGGCGATCATTTGACACTTTTAGCAGTTTTTAATAGTTGGAAGAACAATAAATTTTCCAATGCGTGGTGTTATGAAAATTTCGTACAAGTTCGAACATTGAAACGAGCGCAAGATGTTCGGAAGCAATTGCTTGGTATTATGGATCGTCATAAGTTGGATGTTGTTTCGGCTGGGAAGAATTCAGTGAGAGTGCAGAAGACAGTTTGTTCTGGTTTCTTCAGAAATGCTGCTAAAAAAGATCCTCAGGAAGGTTATAGGACTTTGGTGGACTCTCAAGTTGTGTACATTCATCCATCAAGTGCTCTTTTCCATAGACAACCGGAATGGTAAGTTAATTTGAAACAACTATTTGTTGACTTTTCATTCTAACAAAATAATTCCCTCTTCACATTTCAGGGTTGTTTATCATGAACTGGTGCAGACTACGAAAGAATATATGAGAGAAGTTACAACAATTGATCCTAAATGGTTGGTAGAATTTGCTCCATCATTCTTCAGATTTTCTGATCCAACAAAACTCAGCAAATTTAAGAAGAATCAACGACTTGAGCCGCTTTACAATAAATATGAAGAAGCAAATTCGTGGAGAATTTCAAGAGTTCGAAAGCGTCGAAATTAATTTTATTTCTTTATTTTTTTGTGACTACATTAAACTCATTTAATTAAAAATAAAAACTAAATTTAATTATTCATCTCTCGTTTTGTTATTTTTTCTTTTACTTCCACCCCAGGTGTTCAAATCAAATTTAAATCTATCGAATTGTTTCCTTTCTTTAAATGCAAACGACCTTTCATCTGAGAATCCTTCATTGAATGATGAATTATAGCGGGGTTTACTATAACGATCGTTTCTTTGATTCGATCTGAAATCTTTTTCATCTTCATCATCAAAAAAGTTTTGAGAAATTTTGAAATTTCCTCTATCTGTAAATTTTGGTTCAGGAACTTTATTGTAGAGTTTCCGTCTAGGAACATATTTTAATGCTTCATCCCAATCACCAGATTTCTTTATTTCGAGCATAATCTGCATCATTTGATCTAACGTTAAAGATTTTCCTGATCCTGATCCCCAATTAAGATATTTGTCAAGTGGAAGACGTGCCATTCTTAGTCCTTGCTTTTTTGCCTTTGCAAGTGATAACGGTTCGTTATTCATTTTGTCAACCATTGCACCGATTATATAAATGTCATCGTGATTAAATTCTGTTAATTCTGTTCTACAATGTGGTGTCAAGTAAACAAGTTTCTCCTTATCAAACTTTTCCGTTATCGGTTCTGAATGAACGTTCATTGGAAATTCGGGATCAAGCATAGTTGGAATATATCTTTTTAATTTCCTTGAGGCGACACTTGCCATATTGACATTGCAGAAGTGAAGATCGTATGGGTCATCATGTGAGCGATTGTTAGCGAATAAAAGCATCATTTGTTTTCCTGCATTTTCAGCTTCTCTTTTACTCATATAATCATCGTATGAACAATCGATTATTAACTTTTGACCAAACATCATCGACCTGACAAGTCTATGATTATCGTAATGAGTCATCGTTGCATCATAAATCCGAAGAAACAGCGAATTATGATAAAGTGCGTAAATTATATGAGGATTTTTCGCTTTCTCTTCGCGTTCTCTTGCAATTCGCTCCATATTTTCAATACGTTTCTGTTCTTTTTTTATTTTGTCATTTTGTTCTCTCATTTGGTTTTCCCACATAAACGAGTAATATCTTCGCCTAGCGGATTTTGTTTCAAGTGACAAAATATGGTCCCAATTGTGACTTTTAATATTTTCTAATTCAGGAGTTCTTCTACCTTCTTGTCGAAGTATCTGAAATATAAATTGATTTTCTTGAAACTTGTTTACAGAAAACAAATACTTTAAACCTTACATCGATTTCAAGTTCAAATATTTTAATTTTTTTCTCCCGACTTGTATCATCAACAAAGTTTTGCGTCTCTATTGAAAAACATCGACTCATAAGCCGTGGCTTTGCCAGCCGAACTCCTAAAAACTCAATCACACGCAGCATTTTTTTTTAATTTGATTGTGAACCTTGTTTTTAATATTTTTTTGTTTACTAGAAATTTAGGACAGAAATGTGGTTTATTTGTTTACATTTCTTATGGTGAAAATAATTTTGTTGAATTATGGTGAAGGTGAATATTTTTGTAACATGAGACTGTGGTGGATTTGAATATGGAAAAGGGAGATTCACTTCTTTGATTCAAATTAAAGCTCTCAATTTTTATTTTATTGTTTAAATAATAAAAATTTATGACAATTCAATTCAACCATGTTTTGTTATTGCTCATTTAATTTCACCATTCTTGATTCACCATATTCACCAATCCAAAGTGCTAAAAATTATGCTAAAATTAACGCATTTCATTGGAAAACATCAGAAAGATAAAAATATTTAATACAGCTCAATTGTATACTATTTTTGAAAAATGGGGAAAGGAGGAAAGTTTCAAAGGTCTAAAAAATCTAATTTTATGAAAAATAAAAAAAATTACCATAAGAAAAGTGCTCATAAAAAGCCGAATCGCTACATGATGGTGAAAAAGCAAATTCAAGCAAATAAAGAATCTGAAGATCTTTTAAAAAGGCAGCAACTCGGTGAGACGAAGCTTCTGTAAAAGAAAAAATCATTGAATAATATATAACATTCATTTCAATTTCAGCTGAAATTAAATACAATCAGAAAAAGGAAATCGAAGTCGATCATTCTTCTGACTCTGAACCAGAAGATCAAGCTGAGAATAATGACTTTCAAGAACTACTTTTTACTTTAAGATCAAATAAGCGAACCAATGAAGTCGAAAGTTCAGAGTCGTCGAGTGATGATGAAGAAGAAGAAGCTGAAGTAGAGAAATCAGACAATGAAGATGAATTAGAAGAGTCGAGTGATGAGAATGACTCTGAACATGGTTCAGAAATAGGAACAGAGAATGAAGCATCAGTTGAAGAAATGAATGTTGATCAAACAATTAACACTGAATTTCTCGATGATTCAATTGCACATGATTTAATCAGAGATAACGAAAGTGATTCTGAGGGTTCTGATTCGGAGGAAGAAAATGAAGAGCGCAAAGACAGTAAGACGAATAACCATTCAAATCCATTTACTACTCATCTGAAACATGATTTGAGTACCAAACTCTTTGAAGCTGTTTCTTCAACCCCACCAAAAAAAGAAACTATTAAACTCACATGGCCGACCTTAGATAGTTTAATTGTAGAAATTCCTCGAGGAAATGATGAGCCACCAACAAAGAGGAAACAAAAATTTTTAGGTGATGAGGAAGTTTTCGCTAGTGAAGGTCAAGTTCCAAAACTTTATAATTCGAGAAATATAAAAGAAGAAATTTCAATCAAAAAGCAAATTATTGAAAACATTTGTGAAGCAAATAAAAGCGAGACGCTTACATCGCTTCAAACAGAAATTGTGTCAGTGGCGAGTAATTATCAAGATATTTATTATCCTCATCGTACACATCAGAATGGGGAACAACTGAGATTGTCCTATTGCATTCACACATTAGATCATATCCTGAAAACACGTCAAAAAGTTCTTCAACACAACTCAAAAATTTCAAAACTAAAAGCTTCAAGGAAAAATGTGATAATTCCTGATGAGTTCAGAGATCAAGGCTTCGTCCGCCCTCGTGTTCTTATAGTGCTTCCATTCAGAGATTCTGCTTTTAAAGTCGTTAATATGTTAATTGATCTGTTAAATCCTGAAGGAAAGTCAGCGACAGTTAATTATAAGCGTTTTGTTGACGAATTTACTGGCGACAGTCTTCACTTTCCTAAGAAAAACCCAAAGCCAGAAGATTACGAGCAGACATTTTCAGGCAATACCGAAGATACATTCAGAGTTGGACTTTCACTTACAAAAAAATCAATGAAACTCTACACGCCATTCTATTCCTCGGACATTTTAATTGCCTCTCCATTGGGCCTTCGTTTGATTATTGGTGCACCTGGAGAGAAAGATCGCGAATATGATTTTCTTGCATCAATCGAACTTCTTGTATTAGATCAAATGGAGTTGTTTCTTGCTCAGAATTGGGATCATTTGCTATATGTCTTTGATCATCTTCACTTGCAACCACAATCACGTCAAAATACTGACTTTTCAAGAGTTAGATCTTGGTGCTTGAATGGTTGGTCGAAATTCTACCGTCAAACTTTACTCTTTTCATCTTACGATCTACCAGAATTTCGATCGCTCTTCAACAATCGATGCCATAATTATCAAGGAAAAGTTCGAACAGCAAATGTTGTTAAAAATGGAAGCATTCGACATGTCATCATGGAAATTCCACAAATATTTCATAGAATTGAAGTAAAATCATTAGAATCGTCATTTGATACGAGATTCGAGTACTTTTCAAACACAATTCTTCCACAATTCAAAGCAGCTACGATGGCTCATTGCATGATTTACGTTCCAAGTTACTTCGATTATGTGAGAATAAGAAATTATATGAAAAAGGAAGAAATAAATTTCACACAAATTTGTGAGTACACGAAAGATAATAAAATCTCACGAGCACGAACGTTATTTTATCACGGAGGTTCTCACTTCTTGTTGTACTCTGAACGAGCGCATTTCTTTCGTCGTATGAGAATCAAAGGCATTCGCCATATCATCATGTATCAGCCTCCAATGTGGAATAATTTCTATCCTGAAATTATAAATTTGATGCAGGAAATCAATCAAAATCCTCGTGATGATGTTGTCAATAATTCAATGTCAATTACTGTTCTCTACACGAAATATGACATTCTTCAACTGTCAGCGATCGTTGGACATGACAATGTCGCGAAAATGCTTGCATCAAAGAAACAAACTAATATGTTTATGAATAATGAGTAAATTGATGATTAGAAATAATAATAAAATTAATTCTGATATTTTTTTTATCATTAAACTAAATTATTGAGTTTTATTATACATTTTCTCTGTTAAAGAACATAAATTTTAAGTAAGTATCGTTGATGATGATGATAACAATTTCATTGTTCAACATCATAAAACTTTTTCTCGCTTGTTTTCGTTTCGATCAACAGAAGAAATTAAATATTTATTTACATATGAAAGTGAGTTGCATAACACATGAAATTAAAGCTTTTTTTATCATTATTGGACAATTTTCTTTTGTTAAACATAAATTCGAGTATACGAGATGCGATGAGTTCGACAAAAACGAGATTAATCGTCTTGTTCTTGATCAAAAATGATCGTAGTATCGTTGAGATCACTGGAAAAATCGTAAGCTTGAGTCGGAAAAACTGTCGTGACACTTTTTTCACCGCTTGATTCCATATCGAGATCTTCGTCATCTTGGAACTTTTTCTTCTTGTTCATTTTTCTGCGTAGTTTCTTTTCATTGGGAGCGTCTCTTTGGTACTCAATTGACTTTGATTTAAAATTCAAATAGTTATTGAAGTCAGTTCGGTTCATTCTTTGTTGATTATTAGTTTGGGAATTTAAGATATCTTGTTGCATTTTTTGGAGATTCTTGATGAACTTGTCAACCGATATGTCGCTATTGTTTGCCAATCGTATTGCGATGGTCTCAGGAATGATGATAATCTTCTCTAAAATACAAATGAAAAGAAACTTTTAAAATTAACCTTTTCGAAATCAATATTTAGTTTTATTGACCGCATTTTATATTAAGATTTTGAGTATCCTTTGCTGATTCATCAGTTGGAACCCACAAGAAAACGTAATAAAGCGACAGAATAATCGCAGCCATTGACACGGTCAAAACGTAAGCGCAAACAGTTAAGACCCGAACTGTTCTTTGATTCTTTTTCGATTCATAAAGTTTCTCGATCGAATCATCTTTCGCCAACTTTATTTTTTCCTCGGTTGTGTAATTTATTTTGTAGCTCATGTTTGTGAATTATTACGAAGTTCTTTAAAATGTTCTTAATTCTTTTATTTGTGGGACAATTTTTATCTTCTTTACTGTATATGTTTGATCTAAATAATGACAAAACTCATCAAAATCAATAGAATAACAATTAAGTGAGTTTTCTTCTTTTTTGATTTTCACAAAACTGTCAGATCTTAAAGCACTGTATTCGGGTTTTTTTCTAAAGTTTCAATAACAACGAAATTCGTAAGTGTTTGGAAAAGTATTTTAAGCAAATTTTGTTTCTTTTCTCAATAACAATGCAATATTTTTGTCAAATAAAATTTGTGAAGAAAATTTTCTTCTTCGCGTGATGAGTTAAAACGTATTGGAAACATTGCATTCCATTTCTAGAAGAAAATGAAACTTGGAAAATCTTTTGAAAAAAAAAAATTATTGTAAACATGGAAAACTGGAAATGTTTTTCTTTTTATCAAATTCAAATCATTTACAAAGAAACGTTTTTACAAAGAAACTTCTCTTAATTGGATTTCATTGGAGATTTTGAAGGTTTTTATTTCGGTTTTCTTTTTAATTTGATTAGATTATTAATGAATTCACATTTCGGGAAGATGTCATAATAGACGAATAATTATAAAACATATGTCGCAACATGTTTCAATTTTCTATGAATGAACTTCGTAGAAAAGATTTTCCGTAATTTATTTTTAAGTCTCCGAGTTCTTTGAACATGAATGACAAATTTAAATGACAACACATCTGAATCATATAAACAGTGGGATCCTATGAATGAATGAATTCTTAATGAATGAAGTATTTTAAAACGTTTTCGTTTCTTCAAAATTTACTTCTCATACTTAGGAATTTTTCCCAGAAAATGAAAAACAATTAATTTTATGTCCATAGGCTTTAAAGAATTTTCATCATCACATTAAAGGTTTTTCCGTCACGCTGTGATGATTCACTGCAGATATTTCATCTTCGAAACAACATGCACGAAATGAAACGATTCGAGTGATGAGAAACATTCATACCTGACATTTTATGATTCTTACATTTTCATCTGAAGTCGTAAAAACTGCAGAGTCGATTAATAAATTCAATTATGAAGTAAAATTGAGTTTGGTAGATTGAGAAATTTAGTTAGGAACATTGATGGAAAGTTAATGCAATATAAATATTAATTAACAAATCTTATCGCAGGGATTTGTGAAAAGAAATTAACAATTTATAAAGAAAAATTATTTTAAAATCTTTCACTACAACATGATATCTGATTAAATGGTTCACCTGTAATTTAATCCACTTTAAAGATTGTTCGATGTCATCTCTTGTGAAGTTGTAAGAATATTTTCTCCCTCTAATCTTTCAGTGCGCTCATATTTCTCCGGATCTATGAGTTATTAACTATTGTTAATATATAAATGTTTAAAAGATGAAATAATAAAATATAATTTGAGCTTACTCCAGAAGAAAATATAGTAAAGTGACAACATTAAAGCAGCAAACGACACTGAGAACACATAAGCACTGACTGTAATTACACGAAGGAATTTTGAAGGCTTTTCATCTTTCACATACACGTTGGGATCTTCAACATCCTTTTCATTTTGGGTTTCTGATTCTGACATTTTCTTGAGATTTAATTAAACTACCGAAGTTCAACAATGTAACGAATATTTATTTTTTATTTCGATGTGTGTCGTTGAAATTTCACGATCCGACTGAATGAAAATTTTAAGCTTGATCACTTCTAATACGATTTTCGTTTCCACATTTTCCAATGTGTTCTTCCTTCAGCTTTAATAGAATTACTTTTGCATTACGTAAGACATTCAGAAACGTAGTAAGGAAATTGAATAAAAGAAAGAAAATTTAATGAAATGTTTTGAACTGTTCTGATGTTTTAAAATGCGAATAAAAATAAATAACTACATATTAGACATTATGCAGTATATTTAAAGTTTTATTTTATTTTCCACAATGCTTATGCATAAAACATTTAAGGTGATCGGATTCCTTGATGGATTACCTCACAACTTCTTATTACAATTTTTTAATGTACAACTGAAAGCTTTGAAGTTTACATCATCATAATCATCAATTATCTATATGAAAAAGAAATCTATTCTATGACATCAATCCTTATGGGAATCGTCAATCAGTATTGTTAAAATTCCACTGTTATAGACATTTAAGCATAATATAGCGTAATCAATAATACTTAAGAAACAAATCACAACGATTTAGAGATCAATATTTGTGTATGTACGTTAATATTATTAAGAGAAATAACGTTAAGAAAGGAGATTAATAAATATCAACGTCTGAATAAAGTTTAGGTAACTCAGTTTCGAGTTTAAAAAGTTGAACGAATGTTTTGAGCTTCCATCGGTCTCCAATAACATCACCATAATGATTTTCGTTTACAAAAGTTGAGCAATACGAAATGAGTTCCTTGGACCCATCGTTATCAATATCAGCAATAAGAACTGAATTTTCTTGATAATTTAAATCAGGCTGACAAATGCTTTCATTTTTTTTATCGCCAGTTTTGTCTTTTGTCTGTTTTTGGCAGAACTGAACAATGTTCGATTGACTCGCATTTTCTACTTTCATGTTAGTGCTATTAAAGACAATCAACATAATGTTTTCTCTTAGGAAAAGAAGTTTTGTTTTGTAAGAACTACTGGGAGTGAACGATTCAGGTGATCGCTTTAACCGATTTCTTTCGAGATTATATTTAACTTCAGTTCCATTCCATATCCAATATTTGATGATAAACCCGTGAACATTTTCACCTTGTCTACTGTTGTCAAGTTTAAACGGAACCGGTACCATGGCATAAACTTTACTTGCAACGTATTCGAAATGTATTTTTATAGCTCCATCATCAACACTTGTGAGATTGATAGAAACTTTGCTTTCACGAGGCCATGTGCCTTTGTTTTCGATTTCAAGCTTTTTATCCTCTACTGTGCTTATTGTCGTCTGTTCCAACGTCGATGAACGTTTTCCATAAAATTTATGCTGATTTATTTTGGAAACTTGTTGAAGTTTCTTCAGATTAAGTGGCTTCTTCGACACCAGACTATATAAATCAGTTAAGTTTTTAAGGATTTGCTGTTCAGTGTCTTCTTTGATCATACAAATAAATTTTATAACAAAATTTGTATCAATTTGAAGCTTATGAATGTAAGAACAGTTTTGAGTATTTTTTAATAAAATTTTTCCGTTGGCACCGGAGAGTATTACGAGATCAGTAGTAGAATTTTTTGCATTTGAATATCCCATCATGAGTTCATTAACTTTATCACCATTGAGGTCTGGAAGAATGAGAGGAAAATCGAGAAGATCTTTTCGCGTCTGTTTCGAAGTTTTTAAGTTTGAAAAATCATAAATGAAGTGACCATTACTATCAAGGCATGACAACTGACCAAACTCATCAAGAATAAGACAATCTTTCGTTCCGTTATTATCACAATCAATTAAGTTACAATCAATGCTGCGTGGTTCATTACTCATCTCACGTGACCATACAATTTCACCAGAATTTCCAGACAGTGCAACTATCCCACCGTTTATTTTTTGTTTCGATTTTTTTGATTTGTTGAGATCTGGAAAAATCTTATCAGAACGATACATGAAGACGATGTTTTTGTGCTTTTTGCTTTCAAGTGGTTGTGATATTGTATTGATGTCTCCTTTAAACTCCATTTTCTCATAATTATGCATCCAGTTTCGGGTTTTCAATAAACCTGCGCTCGTTACACAACTAGATTTACATGGTAACAGGAGAAATACGACAACTACAAGTATCGTACCAACGATAGAAGCAATGAAACAAATTCTTCTTGTTTGTGACATTGGTTCCTGGTATGTCCGAGTTGCTTCACAATCCAAAATTTGCAAACGATCGTCTGTATATTCTCCCATGGCAGCATTTTGATTAAGAAAACTGCTGTTTGACGTGCTAGTTGACAGCATGATATTCTCTCCACGAAACATGTCTTTTCCTGTAATTATATTTATTCAAAGAAAATTCGTAAGTAGTAAATAAGTCAAGGAAAATACGTGAAAATTCTCTTACTGAAGGAATTGTCGTTAATTTGTTGATAAACCATGTCTTGAAATATATTTACACTGATAAGCTATTTTGAGAGCTTATTCAGTGAATGTAAATACTATGAAATATTGCTAAGGTGATAAAAACATGAAATGTAAATAAAAGACTCGTCAAAGAAAAGTTTTTCCTTGGAAAACTGTGGTGAATGGAAAATCTTTGGTGAAATTCTCATATTTTCACCTCAATATTTATTCTTTATCAATTCACCACATTCACCACGCTCACTCACACAAGTAAAATGGCAAAATTATTGAAAACAAACATTTTAAATCGTGTTTTCTGTCAATATAACAATTGTTCGTACAAATTTCTAAGTTCGACAGCTTCCAATGACTACCAAAAACAACACTACGATGTAATAATTGCTGGTGGAGGTTTAGTTGGCGTTTCTCTTGCCGTTTCTCTTGGTAAGATTTAACAAGTTCCGAAATTTGTAGATAACAAAAAATATTTCTCAGCACAAAGTGAAAGTCTAGCTGAAAAGAAGGTTCTCCTTCTCGAAAGTGCTCCTGCTTTTAAACAACCCTCCAAAGAAAAATATAGTAACCGAGTTTCAGCAATCAACAAACAATCGATTGGACTTTTGAAAAGCTTAAATGCGTGGAATCATATCGAATCTATTAGATGTAAACCTGTTATGCAGATGCAGGTTTGATATAAACAGTTTAAAAAGCAAAAAACCAAATAACTTATTTCATAATTTTCCAAGGTGTGGGATGCAATATCTGGTGAAGCTATTCATTTCAATCATCCAAATTTCTCCGATCAAGTTGCTTGTATTGTTGAGAATGATTTAATACTCGAGTCACTTTATAAGCAACTTGAAAACTTATTGAATGTACAAGTTCGCAATGAATCACGGCTTGAAAGCTGCAAACTACCCAAAGATGATGTCAAAAAGAGCGAAGTTACTTTAAAATCAGGAGAACAATTCAGTTGCGATTTATTGGTAAGTTCAATTTAATTTTTAATAAATTCATTTTTTTGAAATACTGTTTGACAATTCATCAATTCTTTTCATCAAAACGTCAAGTTTCGTTTCAACCTCCTTTAATTGATTTCTTATATTTACCATTGGTATATCATTCGTTGATCTTCGAGCCCCAAAACTTGAAGTATCACGCGATGGTGGCTGATCAGAAATTGTTCTTTGACGCCACGTTTGATTGCGATGTAAAGTAGGTTGTCGATAAATGACTTCATCAAACGATTCTTTGAATAGATTTATGTTGCGATTATTTCTCTTTCTTCTCATACTTTGATTACGATCTCTTCGTTCAGCAACAAGTTTGTAGATTGATGCCATGATATCTTTCGGAATCTTTAAATATTTGCTAATTTCACTTATTTAATTAAAATGTAAAGCATTTTGCGTACCCTTTTCTCACGTGGATCATTTGGCTTGATACCCAATTGAAGATTGTATCGTGAAGTTCTCAAAAGAGCTTCACGACGAAAAAATTTTAAAACTTTTGACGGCGCTTTTTTCAAAAGTTTACTAAATAAAAGTCCTTCAAGTCTTGCAACAAGTTCAGCTTGTCTCGTTAATCGATTAAGTCCAGCTGAAGCTTGTAATCCTTGAATGTCACTTACAGCAAGTCCAACAAGGAGATTCATTAAGATGACTGTGACAAGAATGACAAACGCCAAAAACATTATGTGAGCTGTTATTGGATGTAAAACTGGCTGGTCTTGGTCTCCATCATTTGTGAAGAAAACGTCTTCGAATTCCAATTCACCAATCATCATGACAATTGTTTTTAGAATTGATCTAGGAGATTATTAACGTGAAAATTTAAAATTTTCGTCAATTAATTAATTACTCACAATGGCACACTTTCAAATGGCGCATAGTTTGAGAAAAGAATGCAAAAGCTTAAAGCAAATGCAATCAGCAGACAACAATAGGCAAGAAGGAATTTCGAGAAGTTTACCGCAACTGAAATAAATGAGAATTAAATTAAATTTAAGAATAGCGTAATGAAAGTCTTGAACTTACCTTTTGTGAACATTTGAACGTATAAACCGAAAATTGGGAACCGTCCGACTAACATCATGAGCTCAAGCCAAACAAAAAAGATGACAATACCGGCAACATTGAATTGCCAAGTGTCGATGGTGCTGAGATCTTTAAGCTTCTCACCTTGGGGATACTAGAAAAAATCTTTTTCTTCTAATTCATTAGAAATAATTTAATTAGCTTACCGAAGATAGAAAAACTCCAAAAATAATCATCCATTGAAGCCAATTTTCCCAGTAACGAACATAAACTACAAAACCATGCGCAGCTTGAAAAATTTCCTTTGCCATGAGTGAAAAGTTCATAAACAAGACAATGTAGCCAATAATAGCGATTGCTTGAACGTAAGTCTCTTCATTGCAGTTTCCCTTTTGACAATGATTGACAAAAACTTGCATGGCGTAGATCGTGAAAAGTAAAACGTAAAGTGAATGATAAAAGAGACTAAAAAGAAAATATTTTCTAATTCTTCGCCATTTAAGGAATAAAAATGTTTCTGCAAGTGGATGTTTAAGAATTCTTTTCTGTCCAACTTCAATGAATGCAAGTAGAAGTTCAGTTTCACCTCGTTCATGATTAGGAACAAGACATCGAAAGTCAAGTTTAATTTCGCAATCAACATCGCCAATTTCATGTTCATTAACTTTTATCGAAGAATCTAATTTAGCAAAGTATTTTGGAATCACTTCTGGTGTTCGTCGAACGATAAATGAAAGTGCTGACACTCCTCCATTGGTTCTTGCTATTATGTCAGCTCCATATTCAATTAACATGTAAGCGCAAGAACTGAACTCGTTTAAAGCAGCAATGTGAAGTGGCGTGTAGCCAAAATCATCAGCTTTGTTGACATCCGCTTTTCTGTCTAGAAGCATTCTCGTGCAATCCCATGAACTCGATTCTTTAACAATAGAAGCATGTAAAGCTGTTCTTCCATCCCTGTAAACGAGATTAACATCAGCACCATGTTTGAGTAACAATTCTAGTGTCTCAAAGCTTTGTGAGAGGCAAGCAACATGAAGTGGCGTTTGTTCATCAATATTTCTAGCGTTGACACTTGCACCAGCTTCAAGTAAATGTTTTACACAATCAGAGAAGTCATCTTCAGCAGCAAGATGTAAGGCAGTATTTCTTTTATTTCCCATTCTTGTTGATACATCAGCACCAGCATCTAAAAGTGCTTTCAAGCATTCTGAAAATCCCATTTCAACGGCAATATGAAGTGGACTTTCAATAGTTATTTTAGGTGGATTAGGATTCGCTCCGTTTGCGAGAAGAAGTTCAACACATTTTATTGCATTCTTTTGAACAGCATAATGAAGTGGGGATCTTCGATCAATGCCTGAATTCACTTCAGCTCCACGAGCTATCAAAAGACGAACACATTCTTCACTTCCCGAAATTGCTGCATAGTGAAGTGGTGTAACAGTTTTTTCAATATCCCAAACATTCACTAAAGCTCTGTGATGAAATAAAAGTTTCACAAAAGTTGCACTTCCAAAGATGCAAGCATAATGAAGTGCTGATCGGCCTTTGATGTCAGTGACATTTGCATCTGCGTTCATTCTTAAAAGTTTAGAAGCATATGAGAAGTTTCGATGCCAAACAGCAAACATGAGAGCGACATTGAGTTGTTCTGTAGACTGAAAGTCAAATTGCGTGTTTGACACGATGCAAGTTTCGATCTCGTCAGCATTTGTGAGAGAATGTAGGGAAAGTTCAAGTTCCGTAATCTCCATTAAGTGGCCATCATAATCACGAGGTTGTGTCTTGGAAGTGTACGAAATTTTAATTCCTTCACCGCTACCTTCACTCGATATGCTCTTCCGATCTTCTTCATCTCCATACTCTTCGTTGCGTTCTTGTTCTTCACGATTCAAATCATTCTCCTGTGAAAATTGTTACAAGAAAGTTTTGATTGACAATCGCCACATGTTGAACATCTTGTTTCAATCACTACTCACAATAATTGAAAACCGAACAGAGTTTATCATGTTGATTCGTTTGAAACGCAAATCAATGATACTTGACTGTGTGTTGATAATACCTGTGTGAAGGTAGAATGTTCATTAGCGTCTCAGTTTCAATTAGGTTAAATGATTCATGAATTTCCACGATGATCTTTCATCTCATGTAAAGAAATATCCAATGAGAAGAAGGAAAAAAAATGCTACGAAAATCACTATTTAATTTATTATTTGTTTATCCTCTTAATTGAACACAAATACTCTTTCGAAATGCGAGGAGAACTTATTTCTTTTTTTTTCATGTAAAAAAGAAGAAAAAAAGCATTTGAGTGAGTGAAAAATAATTTTCTCCAGATTTTCCAAGTTTTCTTCACCCTAAGCGATCTTTCGTCATCACTGAATGTCAGTTCTTAAATTATGAAGCTAATTAATATCATGTCAACGTTAATGGAACATGACAAGAACTCCAAGAACTGAGACATTAAAAAATGATTCAGTTTTGAAATGCAACGAATGTGCAGTTTTAAAATTCATGCGAAATGAATCATGAGCGTGAATATGCTAAGAAGACTTCCAAATGTTTTTATTTCCTCTTACATTGTTCGATAAATATTAATTTCAAGTAGTTAAACTTACGAACTTAAATGTTATAAGCTGCTGACATTTTAATTGCTTTTTCTAAAAAAATCTTTAAACTTTTCCCTCTTTTGATTTTGATGTTTTCACAACGACTATCGATCATCAACTGGAGAATTCGTTTGGAAATTTTCACATTTCTTTAAATTTTCTCTCATTTTCCTTCTTATTCCATATTCTCCGATCTCTTGAAATATTTTCATAAGATTTTAACAACACGTGAAATTGATTCTGAATAAAGAGAAAAAAAATTTCTCAAGTAAATCTTTATGAAGAATCAAACAGGTGGATGAAGATAGAAGAATAATTTGTTTCAAATGATTTATGACTTTTTCTTTTCTTTCTTGTTAATGTCAATTAGATCGGAGCTGACGGCGCTAACTCGATTGTGCGACAAAAAATGGAAGTCAACAACTTTGCATTGTCTTACAAGCAGATGGGAGTTGTGGCAACATTAGAATTGGATGCTGAAGAAGCAGCAGGAAATAGTGTGGCTTGGCAAAGGTTTCTACCAACAGGTCCAGTGGCTTTACTTCCATTGACTGATAAACTGAGTTCACTGGTTTGGTCAACTAATGTGGAACATGCGAAAGAACTTCTCAGAATGGAACCAGAAATGTTTATTGAAAATCTAAATGAAGCTTATTTGAAAAGTTACAAGACGAACTCACTTGTTGATAAATTTATGAAGACAGCTGAAGGAGCTTTTCCTTTGGGCCGAAACAAAATGTTGCAAGTTCCACCTCGTGTTAAGAATCTTCAGGAAGGTTCACGAGCTGCTTTCCCTCTTGGTTTCGGACATGCTTCGTCGTATGTTTGTCGAGGTGCTGCTTTGATTGGAGATGCTGCACATCGAGTTCATCCTTTAGCTGGTCAAGGAGTCAACTTGGGGTTCGGTGACGTCTTAAAATTGACTGAAATTCTCTCTGAAGCTGTCTACAGTGGAAGCAGTTTGGATAATATTCAATATCTCCTCAAATACGAACAAGAAAGACTCAAAGCAAACGTGCCAATCATGGTTGGAATTCATGCACTTCAACAACTTTACTGCAATGATTTTCCACCTTTTGTACTTGCACGAAGTCTTGGTCTTAAAATCACAAATTTCACACCCCCACTTAAAAAGTTCTTCATGGAAAAAGCTCTTGCATAATTGTTTCACAGATGTTTCTACATATGTACTAGAAATTACTCTGAAATTGCATAAACATTGATTTAAAATAAAGTTTGATATTTAAATATTTATTTCAATAAATTTTCAATTCTATTTCAGTAATAATTCAAGACGTGGGCAACAATTAAGAGTTCGGTTTTCCTTCACCATCGTAAACTCTTGTTACGTCATTGTAATCACCATCAATGTATTCATAATCTGGTTTTGGTGGTGTTTCCACTGGTCCCTTAGCTACAAAAGGAATCATGTCAATGTCGGGTTGAATTGCATGCTGATAAAGTTCCTCAGATTCGAAACGAAGTTCTTGAAGTGCTTTCATTTGTGCATTCATCATTTTATCTACAATCTTCAGATCTTTCAGACTTTCTTGTAAACGATAATGCGCCCATTTATTTAGCAAAACTATTCTCCGTTCTTGTTCCTGCTCTGATATTTGAGGGAGTTTTCTTGTTCTTTCTCTTTAAAAATAAAAATCAACGTTTTAATGAAATAAGATGCTTGAATATTTTATATCACTTACTCTTTTTCATCAATCAAAGTAAAAGGAACTTCTAACTCATCAATTGGTTTAAGTTGGCGAGAATTTTTCTCAAGTCTTCGAATTTGCTTCTCAAGTTTTTTCCTTTTTCGATCTTCACGAGCTCTAACAACTGCAGGATCTAATTTCTTCTTCTTTTTCAAGGGTTCAGCATATAAAACTGGAGTATAGTGAAAGTTAAGTTTACTTGCTGTATGAAAACCATTTAATTTTAATAGATTATTAGACAATGTTAATCTGAAAATATTAAAAATTCAAAAATTTAATGATTTTTCCACATAAACAGCAAAGGATATTCAGATACCTTGAAATTGATGACAAGAGCTGAATCATTTTGATGATCTGGGACAGAATATTATTCTTGATCCAATAAAATCATTAATTTACTTTTAAAATAAATTGAAGTTGGTCTTGTTGACTTTTTATCCTGATTTGTCTCCATAGGCCGCATCATAGTTCGACCCCTCATTCATCGCGCACAATGGGCGCGGAATACATTTGAAATTTTAATAACCGTTTATCGTGACTTTAAAAGGAACTGTGATGATTCAATATAATGGGCAAACGAGGAGCAAGAAAACCTTTTTTCACAAAGTAAAAAGACTGTAACAGTCGACTCGCTATAAGTGGAAACTGAAGGACGAAGAATTAAAATCTTATGTTTTCATGACTATGCTCGCCAAATATATTCAAATATTGAAAACGATCCTGACAAGTCCTCAAAAGTCCTGAATGTAGATTTTGGTGATTTATCAAAGATAATGTTATCGATGCGGTAAGTTTTGTTGTTGTAACGTGTTAAAACAATTTTTGGTATTACAAACTTTTAATTAGAAATTAAAAGAAACTAAAAGAAATTTTAAAAACTCACCGATAATTAACATTTTTTTCACGTTATCCTGTAATTGATTTCGTCCAGCTTCAAAAGCTTCAGTGATTGTGTCAAAAACTGTACGAGTGATAATACACGATGAGAAACGTCCAATTCCAGCATCAAACCGCCTTCTTGTTCAGAAACTGCTTTCACATATCCTGGCAGGGGGCAATTTGCTTCATTGGTCTAAGTGACTAAACCATGGTTTTGTATCGAACGCGTTGCCAACGGCGCGGCCGGTTCGAGACTGGTGGTGGTCATGTACTCTGAGGGGTTTCAGAAGTTTAGATACTTCGCCCCTTAAGCAGTTTTATCTTTAACAAAGTTTTCGCTGGGATGAAAAAGTACTGAAATGTCTCTTTGTCTCGAGTTGATATTCAATTATATTCGGGCTTAGAATCTCTAGCGGAACAGAGTTGAAGATGAAACACTCTATCGTCAAATGATGGTAAAAACAGCCCAAGGCTACTTTCTAGAAAAGACCTTGGGTGGATGCAAAACGGTCGGTAGTGAATAGTCAGCACAAAAACAATTTCCTAAAATTGAGTAGTGATGTCATTTTCACGTGCCACTTATGACCATTGCCCTCAAATGCCTTCGTCATTTGATGGTGGTTCCTATATGGCCTATATGTGCCTGTCCTTGATCTGATGATGATGATGACATATCCTGGCCAAACTTCAAGTTTATGTTGTGGAATAAGTTTTGGTGAAGTTGGAACGAAACTTTTTCGTCCAACACGAAGATAATTCAAAACTTTAAAGATTTTTTCAAAAAGAATTGTACAATTGAATACAGTCGCCGAGTTTCTTTTGACGTTTGAAAATGATTTCAATTGCTATTTCGGGACCTTCAACAATGTTCTTCGAGATCAATCGTGTGACTTGATTTCGAAGTTGATGTGGTAAGAACAATGATGCTGTTCAACGTTATAGTTTCTTCTCCTTCAACAATCTTCGTATACTTCTCTATTAAATTGACTTGTCCCAATGCACAGAGATGGGTAGATATTTGGGATTTATTCTGAAGTTATTCTGAGATAAAATTCTCTGAAGATGAGAACCCTCACCAGCCATCTCCCTGATCTCACTGTCAGCCGAAGAAGTCGAAGAAGGTGGATCGGACCTCATGAAGAGGAGAAAATCCTCCAGATCCACCTCCGCGAGCTCCTCAGCATTGATGACAGTGTGGTTTAAGATCCTTCTCCTTACACTAGAGTGTGCATCGCAAGATGCTATAACGTGTTGCATAGTTTCTTCAATCATGCCTTTACAATATCTGCAATTTATGAGGTTTGTCTTTTGCATCAAATTTAGATGTTTATAAAGGCAGCAGTGTCCTGTTAAGGTACCTATCATAACTATTCAGTGTTTTCTATGTAGATTTAAAAGAAATTGATCTCTATGAAAATTATGTTCCTTCATCATCATTTTAGAGTGTCTTAAATCTGAGCTATTTTTCCATCTTATGTTCATCTCTTTTTTCAGCCATTTCTCAATTTTCATGTTTATTATAGCATTTGAATCAAGGTTTTGAATTTTTATAAAATCTTTATCGATTCCTTGATTTGCAAGTCTGTCTGCTTTCTCATTCTCTATGATACCTTTGTGGCCAGGAACCCACCAGAGAGAAATCAATGGCTGTCGCTTTGNCTTGTTCCAGCGAAACCATCGAAGACATTTGGCCCGAAGATATTTGATAATTGCTGAGTAGATCGTATGTCAATAACCTTAGAGACATCATTTTCCTTCATCAAAATTCTTCCAGATTTTTCCCAGATGTATTTATATTTTCCATTGTTAGCACGATAAGCAGCAGCAAGAATTTGTTTATTGGTTGAAGTCAGTTGATTAAATATTTTTATTTCTTTTCCGTATAGCGTAGAGTTCTCAGGAACATTTGAATAAATTTTTTCGACAAGGAAAGGCTTATTAGTTTTGAAATTATTCATTAGGTTTTGTTTTAATATTCCATTGTGAAGAGAAACGAAAAGCCGTGATGTTTTTGATGGTTTATGTTTTCTTTCTGTGATGTACTTAATGTCTTTCATGTCAATTGCAATGCCTAGTGCTGATGCTATGGTCCTAAAAGTTTCCTGTGGATGTGTAGATAAAAGATCTGTTGGAATACCTTGAATGACCAAATCATTTGTTAGAGTTGCTTGTCGGACTTGATTCAGCTCGACTTGGACAGCCGACATCTCTCCATATAACCAGGAAATATTTCTGGCAGCTTCATCTTGCTTTTTCTCTACTAAGTCAGTTTGTTGTTGAAGTTTTTCGAGGCTGATGTTGAGTAGATCAATCTTGTTTGAAATTGAAGGAATCTCTTCACATTTCTTCCACACGCTCTCAAGTTTGGACGAGATTTTATCCAAGGTCGATTGAAGATTATTCGGGTTCACCATAACTTCACTTATTTTGTCCTTTTTGTTCTTTTTTTTTATTCTAATGGAGTCAATTTCTGTCTTTTCAGTTACTTCCGGGCTTTCAGATGCAGGCCGCTTATTACGTAGTTTATCTCTATAGTTTTCTGTGTCACTTGATTGGTCCTTTAACGATGGAAACGAGTCATCCATTCGATTCAATTGATGAAAGGAATAACACAATAGAACAATGCGTTCAAGTGAAGCGTGGATACAAAATTTTTAAAGATTGATTCCGAAGCCAGAACAAACTTAAAGTACTTGATTTTGATTAGTTTTTGGTAGAAAAATAATTATTTATAGGTCGCTGATGTCTTGCAATAAATTGGGTGCTTATTTCCTCATATAATAATTAATAACTTGAGACTCTAAAAATTTAACGTGTTTCAATTTCAACTGTTCCTCTCTTTTTGTCTTAATCGTTGTTTCAATCTTGATCTCCATCTAGTGATTGATTCCAACCAGCTTTTGTAAAACAATGTCTACAATTGAATACAGTCGCCGAGTTTCTTTTGACGTTTGAAAATGATTTCAATTGCTATTTCGGGACCTTCAACAATGTTCTTCGAGATCAATCGTGTGACTTGATTTCGAAGTTGATGTGGTAAGAACAATGATGCTGTTCAACGTTATAGTTTCTTCTCCTTCAACAATCTTCGTATACTTCTCTATTAACTTGACTTGTCCCAATGCACAGAGATTGGCAGATATTTGGGATTTATTCTGCAAACCTTCAGAGATAAAATTCTCTGAGGATGAGAACCCTCACCAGCCATCTCCCGATCTCACTGTCAGCCGAAGAAGTCGAGGAAGTCGAAGAAGGTGGATCGGACCTCATGAAGAGGAGAAAATCCTCCAGATCCACCTCCGCGAGCTCCTCAGCATTGATGACAGTGTGGTTTAAGATCCTTCTCCTTACACTAGAGTGTGCATCGCAAGATGCTATAACGTGTTGCATAGTTTCTTCAATCATGCCTTTACAATATCTGCAATTTATGAGGTTTGTCTTTTGCATCAAATTTAGATGTTTATAAAGGCAGCAGTGTCCTGTTAAGGTACCTATCATAACTATTCAGTGTTTTCTATGTAGATTTAAAAGAAATTGATCTCTATGAAAATTATGTTCCTTCATCATCATTTTAGAGTGTCTTAAATCTGAGCTATTTTTCCATCTTATGTTCATCTCTTTTTTCAGCCATTTCTCAATTTTCATGTTTATTATAGCATTTGAATCAAGGTTTTGAATTTTTATAAAATCTTTATCGATTCCTTGATTTGCAAGTCTGTCTGCTTTCTCATTCTCTATGATACCTTTGTGGCCAGGAACCCACCAGAGAGAAATCAATGGCTGTCGCTTTGGATTCTAATGACCACTCGAATACGTCTGTTGTTCCTTGCTTCAACATATTGTTCGAAGAAGTGATCCCCACTAGTACCAAAACC